GCGAACTTCATGCGATCTGCGAATCTCTTTTCATTTGTTGTCGCAAATCAGGTCTGTGCTGCTGCAAGCACAGGACTCTCCCGGATCATGGGCATGCTCAGAAGTTAGCCGTTGCACATTTTGCAGGGTCGGCGTAGATTCTAGGATTCGATTAAAGGGGCCGAGTGGTACGAAAGTGGAAAGGGGGACCGGGGATCACGAAACGAACACAAGCCAGACCTCAAGGACACAGCACCGACTTGCGAGTTGTGACACCCTCGTACCCGTATGCTTATTTTGGTCGCGTTGGGCTCCCGTCCCATCTTCCAGAAGGAAAGTTTTGAAGCTTCCAAGTCTGCGGGACGACGAATGGAATAGGGCATCATAAGGCACTTGCGAGTGCAGGACCGGTTTATCCTGCAGCGCTGCATGCGACGGGAGCTGCTGAGCACCACAGTTTCCTTCTGAGTCATGAGAAAAGGGTTCTCGAACAGAGCGTTCTCGAACAGACTTGATTGCAAGGCCTTTATGCATCACTTTATCGGAGCTTGCCACTGGCGTCGGCGTGGCATTGCAGGCACACAGGTGTGAACAGCTTTCTAAGGCAGAGTTGGGTTGCCCTGCCCGGCCCAGATCCAGGCCAGAAGCTCCTCTAGCTGTACGCGGGCCAGCTGCGGCAGCAAAGCGTTTGCGCATAGCAGTGAGCGGACTCAGCTTGTGTCAGTGGAAGGAGCCATTGATCAGTGCGAGATGCCTTCAAGGTTTTAATCGGATCTTTGGTGCGTGCCCCCGCAGCCACGGTTTTGCTTCTCGGCCGGCTCTTTGTCGAGGAGGTGCGGTTTTCTGGCATTCAATTTCTGAAAGTTCGCAGATTTTCGCAGTGTGAAGCGCGTTGCAGGTGCAATACCAAGTCTTCGCACCTTTGTGGCATTCTGCAGACTGCTATGGCAAGTCGGCAAGCAGAATCGTCGGTATTCGATGGGGGAGCAACACAAGTCGAGGTGTACACAGCTCCGATTTTCAAATCACCTGGCTGCGACGACGCAATATCAATTCTTCTTGGCGATTGGATTTCAGCGAAGCTGCAGGCACTGGCCAGGGGATGCCAGGGGCCGGGGCCGGGGGTGTGGCTCGAGTCCAGTTCGGGAGGTGGCATCCATCGAGGACGTGATTCTTGAGGAGCACTTCCAGTCCATTGTGGGATCCCGCCACATGCGACAGTGGTTCAAGCTGCGGAAGGCCTACGCCATGATGGAGGAGTCATAGCCGTCGATAGCCAATAGCCTCACGAGAAGGGGCCGAAGGGCATGGAATGGCCGCATGGCATGGCATCTGGCCAGGACCACGAGCGGATCAGCGGCCTGAAGTATGATTTGGCGCCTCGTCTGAAGGGCCAGGCCCCCCCTGAGACCTCACTTCCATTCCTATAGAGCACCAGCTGAGGTACTCAAGTTTCGGACGGACGTGGAGCTGGCTGCGCCCATTCGCCTCGCAGATTTTCCAGAGGCGAGGGAGCAACACAACTTTGTGCCTCGTTGATTGCGGCACCCGCAGATCATGACCGGTTCTGTGGTCTACAGTGCACACGACCTGGTGTTCTTCTGCAATCGGAAGGTGCAACACTGCACCATGCATGTCGTGTTCTTCACCACAGACGGAAACCTTCAGGTTGCTCATGTCTTACTGAATGATATCCTGGAGAAGCTCGTCAGTCGCGCCGGGAACGAGAGCAGGTAGCCGATACGCGTCGCTTGCGGTTGGGATCCTGCTGGTCCCTGGCATCCACAGGGCACCCAACAGGCAGCTTGCAGTGGCAGGCTCTTCCCGCTAAACTACGACAGACTCTTGCGTTCGGATGAGGGCAATGCAATGCCACTTCAGGTGCGATGCCGTAGCAACAGCTGTCATTACATTTACATTACATTACATTTACAGGAACGTGGCCCGGCTTTCTGCCAGGTGTTTCCAGACGTACATTCGAGTTTTCGCGCCGCTGTGATCGGTTTCGGCCATACATACCCAGGCAGGGAGCCGCACGTGAGATGTGATTTGCAGGGATTGGTGAAGCTTTCTGGCAGCACCCGGATCGTCCTTCAGGGACCTGTGAGGCCTGTGCGGTGTAATCTTCCGCTGGCGCAAGCAAAATGGGGCGTCGGAATTTCGCGTGGCCAACGAATTGTTCAGTCTTGAACGAACGGTGACGAACCTTTGTAGGTTTATGGTAACCTCAGCTCTGGGCGTGGGCAGCATCATTTTCTTCAACTTACCCCTTACGCAGGGAATGGTGCCCCCCAGGAACGGACAAGGCTGCCATTCCAGGACCTGTTCATCCAAACGAGACTCCAGCGCATCAGCAGAAGCGCCTGCAGCGACAAAGGAAGCCAGCCAAGAGCTTGCCGAACACGACGACCCTTTTTCGAATATCCTGCAGCCACGATGGAGCTCGGATGAGCTCGAATACCCACGATGCACCTCTGCAAAAAAAATATTTCCTGTGTATGTTGTAGATTCCTTCAGGACTCAGCAGGCAGGGCAGCTGAACGTTTTGCAGCAGTACTTTTGAACGGTATTCAGTATTCAAGCCTGGTCACTGCGAGCTGCACCAACATCCACGAGGCCGTCAGCGAAGCCGAGTTTACGTGATGCATTACACAACGCCTTTTAACGTGGCCTTTGCAGCACCGCAACGCAAGCATCACCTAAAACTTTTGATGCTGGGCTTCGCGAGCGGCTGCCATAGGTCAAGGACTCAAGCCACAGGTCGGGTGTCGTGTGGAAAGAAGTTGGCCAGGTTTTTTCATGAAAAAACAAGTCCTGGACTGCTCCATCGCACCTTGGTCCTTTGCATGTCGACAAAGAAGGCAGCAAGATCAAGAAGCAAAAAATCAGGACATTACAGGAATTTGCGGGAGCCAGACAACGGTCAGCTCCCCTGTCTGCTGAGACTTCCTTGGGCCTTGGTCCCAATGGTGGTTTGCTGTTTAAGTGTTGGACCATGTCAATGTGTTGATATTTGCTGTGCTCATACCAGTCGGGCAGCTCGTGTGGGAGGCCTTCTCATGCCGGCCATTCGCAAGTTCAGAGCCGACTTGGAGGCAGCCCACAGGCGAAGTGAGAGGGGAGAAGCTGCGCAGCACTGAGGCTTCCAGCAAGGGGTCAGTCTCTTGCCTGTGCAACATGTGCGACTAGAGGTGCCAACGGTTTCCGGTCATTGGAGGACGGCTCACTTCAGAGAGGTCAACTAGGGAAGTGGTTAACGAACGAATGTCAACGACCTCTACTGCTGTTGAAGGTTTCGGAGCGATACAAAACAGTACCAGCACTGGAAGCAGACCAATCGCCTCCCGCGAGACAACGAAATGTGCTCCATGAGGCCTTGCTGCTGCGGAGATCATTGCTCCAGTGATTGCTTGTTTGGTGCCGTCACAGTCGTGTCATGAGGCATTGGTTCTATCACGTCCACAGCGCAGAACCGGAAGTACTGATGCGTCTTTGGTCCGGAAGCACCATGAAGCTCTCGAAGACAAGGCGAGCTCTCGGACCTTGTCCCTGCCGGTGCTGTGAGCTCGGCTTGCATTCCAGGCACTACCACCATTGCAATTGCGAGCCGCCAGAGCCTGGCACTCGGAGTCTAAAGAGATGAAAAATGCGTCCGCCGTGCCTGATTCAGGTGCGTGCCAACTAGTTGGCCTCAGAAATGGCCGCCGTACCGAATAGTCAATGTCTCACACTTTGATGAGCACTGCTGCATGGCGCGAAAAGACACTCGATCACGAGCGGCCTGTTGGGTAGCATTCGTGCGCCTGATTGCTTTCGTGCCTTTTGCTTTTGCTGACGTCCGACTTGTCTGGGTACTTTCAGTTCCTTTGCTGTGTTGCAACGTGCACATTGTTGTTCAGTGATTTACACGTGCCTCTCCATGAAAATGGTCGAGTGTGGATTGACATCTTTGTATTTTGCATGATGATCCTCTTGTTTCAGCTTTTGGATTTTGGTTGCTCGAGAAGATAATGATAGGTGTTTCTTTTGGCCTTCAAGAGTACAGTGGCAGAGAACGGACGAGGAGAGGGCGAGTGTACTGTAGCAACTTGAGCACAGACCTTAGCTGCTCGTTTTTCATTGTTGGTACCGCTGTTTTGAACTTTGCGATCTTTCGTATTCAGTGCTAATCTGGCATTCGTACATTTGTTAATCCCCTGTTGAGGCATCATGATGGCTGAGATGGCCGAGCCTGCACAGCGGCTGCCACCTCCGCATCTGTGTAATGCAGCGCATGAGTCGCTGGTGTAGCTTGGTGTAGCAGCATTGCAGCATCGCTGCTGATGTCGCGATGCGTGGCCATCGCCGCATCAAAAGAGCCTCATTCGCGAATTCGAGGTAGTTTCAAAGTTTCGTTCTTCGGTGTGGGTAGGTCGGTCGAGCCAGGCCTCGTGGTCGCACTCGTGCTCCTCATTGCAGCTGTCTTGGGGACGCTGTATGTGAGGAGAAAGCGGCAGCAAGGGGCCGCTTGGAGCAGTTTAGAGACTGCCAGACTGCGTCTGCGAGTGTTTGCCTTTGGCTGCACCTTTGCCAGGCACGCGAGATTACAGAGCCGCTGCAGGAAGCTTGATCTTCCTTCCTCGCCTCGCTCGTCGCCCCACACGGCGAATCGCGTCTTGCAATGCCTTCGGCTGTAGCCAAAAAGCGAGGCCTTCAGTAGATCGAGCTCGGCCATGAAGCCGTAGATTGCATGCGCCTCCTCAAGGATTCTGGAAGACATGCATCTTCACAGGCTTGGACGAATCGCTCGTGCATACTCGTGCCGTTTTTCTGCCACTCCCTTCTTGAGTGTTGCAGATTCATTTTTTGCCAGCACCTTCTCCCCCACAGCTAGGTTCAGACATAGCAGCACTTACGATGCTACCTGGGTATGTCCGACTGATCAAGCTTCATGCTGCCCCAAGAAAGATTTGCAGCACACAATGTCACGAAACAGTGGCTTGCCTGTCGCAAGTCCTCTCAGGATGTGATCATCACTGATTATGCGCTCAAGTAGTATAGGTATGAAAGATGAGTTGCTTCTTCGACACCCTCCCTCCCTGGCACGGGTGACGGCCTGCAGCTGAGTGCCGATCGCACAGAGGATCTTCGAAGGTTTGCGAGAGCGAGGTGCATGCGCCGGCGCCCCAACGGAAGTTTGCTTTGCTCGCGGGCTTCGTGGCGGCTCGGCATGAAAGTCTTCGTGACGCCCTGCACCTGCTGACATGACAGCATCCATGAGTGCCAGGCTCTCCATGGGCTTGCACTGCAATTTTGCATACAGACGTCCGGGCAGGCTCATCAGGTGGAAACCCGCTCCGCTCATACCGGTACAGACTGAAGTGATAATCAGTTCTGGTGTCAGGCAGCTCTTGAGCGAGTCCGCAAGCTCAACAGGGAGCATTTCCTCAATGGGACGAAGGAAGAGGCAGCCAACGCTGGCAGCGTGTGACAGCAACCATGCACACTTCCGGTCGTGCATCGCTTGCGAGTCGTATTTGAAGTGCACGCGCATGTCCAGATGATCTTCGACCTTCCATTGCCGTTTGTTGTACTGCAGCCTTTGCCTACTACCTAGGTGAAGAGTGAAGACTCAACGTTTTAGGTTCACTCGCCCACTGCACAGCTCTCGGTGGCAATTAGACTCTGTTTCAGTCAGACACACATGCAATCACGTCAAGTACATGGAGTAGAGTATAGTAGAGTGTAGCGCAGGACAAGATTCCGCAAGAGCAGCTGCCTTCAGAGTGGGCCGGAGGGTCAGTGGGAGGGTTCAGATCGCCTGCAAGATGTTTTGACATCGCCCCGCTAAAACGCTCTTCTCTCCGTTGCCCGCTGTGTTGCACAGCCTTTACTCTGAGGCCCCAAACCCGTGGGCGAGCGCATCGCTCTTTGCGACGACCCTCCGCCGCAGAATCGACGTATACGATACAATGACCTCCATTCGCACACGTCTGACGGCTCAGGATCTCCCTGCACGTCTTTTTCCATCTTGTCTGCCATTGGAAGGCGTCTTGACTTGACACATCGTGCAGAGAGCTTCGATGCTGTTTGCAGGTCGGTTTCCGAGCCTCCATGTTGTTCCAACCTGCTCGCAACGTGCGGGAAGGTTTCTATGTCCAGGCGTTGTGGGTGCTTGGAAGCTGCTAAGCTGTCCTGTGTCTGTGGGGCTGCAGAGGTCACTCCGCTGCCGCTGCTCACTCAGACATGGTCGGAATGTGAGGAAATGAAAACGCGAGCCGCTGACGATGACTCTAGGCACCGTGGTCGGCCGGCTTTGGTGCCCTTGAAGTTTGCACCCCTGAGACTCTGAGAGCCTTTCGCGTTGGAGACGACTGGCTTCGATAGGTTTTGCGAGACCACCCTGCGCCTGACCTTCATCTTCCAGCGCCAGCACTACGAGTGCCTAGAACCGGGCCCGCCTGAGTCGGCTTTCCAGTCGGACGAGACGAAATTCGGACTGCCAGGCGAGAGCGGCACGGATCCCGACGAGGAGGCGATTTGCGGGTGTTCGGCGTTCTTTGGGAATGTGAAGACATCGCAATGGCCATTCCAATCTTGAGTGCTCTGAAGCACGTCGGCCTAACACCGAAGCTGCTCCCACGATCACTCCGATGTCAATTCGCAGCGCTGCAAGATCCCGTCGCGAAAACGGAGACCAGTGTTACAGTAGGTTACAGGGGGTTAGGGGGGAAATCTTGGGCATCAGTCGGTCCGCAGCATTCATTGCATAGATTGTCATGAGTCATGATGTGTAGCAAGACAATGGATGGTTTTCCGAGTCACTTGGGCTTACGAGACGGCGTGTCGATCGGTCCTCTTCCCGGCCAAGTCGTCAACTGTTAGCCGGCCGCGAGTTTTTTAGTGCGACCTTCCCTTCGACTTGCGCTTCCAGAGCTGTTTTCGTTGCTAGCTTGTGCCTTCCTCACATCGTTTTGTTGCAGGTCGGAGAGGTTCGGTTGACGCCATGTCCGGTCTCGGAGCCACTCTCCAAGTACCTGCAGGCCGGCGCCATCCTGCGCCCTGAGACTCACGAAATTAGCTTATCGAGTGCTTTGAGGCGACGGGCGTAGGCAATGATGATGCTGAGCACCTGAAGAGTCGCTTTGGCGATAACCTGCTGGAGGTCCGTAACAGCGTGATATCACCAATTGTGTTGTCTCTTGCTTGGGTTCCGTGCGGCCGTGCAGGTGGAGCTCCCGAGCTTTTTCCAGTGCTACAAGGCTCCCGATGGCTCCCGGTGGGTGAGGCTACTGACTCTTCTGCTCGAAATCTGTCGGGAGCCAGGAGCAGCTTTTATCGCCTTTAGTCATCTTCCAGGCGCAGAGAAAGCACATGTCAGCACATCCCTCTTCCTCTTTGCTTTGCTTTGTTATTGCTCTTTGCCCGATGACCCAGATCTTTGTGGCCCTTATCTGGGCAGCTGACGATTTCTTTGGCTACACCTTGATGCAGTTGTTGCCCAAGGCTCAGCTATTGGGAGGCAGTGGACATGATCAACAGGGAGTGCTGGATGCTGTGTTGGCCGAAGGAAACAACCCTCTCGCAATTGGAAGCTCAGAAAGTCCGAACAGTTGAGTAGTTTCGTTATGTTTCGTTCTCTGTGTTGAAAACGAGTCGTGCAGGCGGATGAAGTCCTAAAGGAATCGTGCTTCATGACATGCTGCATGCAGCGAACGCAGGAAGCATCATGGCACCATGGCGCTGCCGCAAGCGTGTGCCTGTTGGACCTAGGTTCATTTTGACGATGGAGTCCACAAGCGTTTTCCAGCGGCTGAAGACGATGAAGATGCTCAACAGCATGGGCACGAAATCCTACGGCATCATGGTAAGCCCTGACCAAATCCTAAGTGTGTGGTGGATCCAGTGAAGTGTCGACAGCCAGGTCTTCCGAGGGGGATCTTGGGTCGAGAAGAGCCGGGGCCTCGGGCTGGGGCTGCCCTACAAAGACTTCCGTCACACTGGAACTGAAAGCACATGGGCCGGGCTTTGAGGTCAAGTGCGAGCGAGCTGTTTTATTCGTAACGATCGTAAGGCAGTCTTTGGGCAGGTAGCTTTGTGAGAAATTGCAATGTACCCCCTCGTCTAGGCCCGTGGCGATACTCCAACCCGAGCCGTCACAACTTCCGAGTCTTGTGTTCAACATCTGAGTCCTAGCCTCAACCATCTTTGTATGTACGTAAGTACGTACGTAGGTACGTACGTAGGTATGTATGCATATATATATATGTATGTATATATGTATGTGTGTGTAGAGTTTCGTTTTTCGGTCCTTGCCTGGATCCGTCGCATGACTAGATTGCAGATTGCAGCTCATTGCAGCTCGACTATTCAACCAGTCAGTCGAGAAAATGCCAACTGCCACAAGGATTTTACGTGCCTGAGGCACACAGATGCTTCGGCAGTCTGCTACAGTCTGCTCTGAAACTCTGCTTGTTGATCTTGCATGTGTAGCCTTGGTCTTGAGCTTATCTTGTTACATACCGCTGCCATAGGGCCCTTGAGTCATACCGCTAGCTTCGCAGTTGCAAAAGGGAACGTCCACCAGTTTGAAATCGGTACCGGAGCTGGTACACCAGCCAAGCGGGGACTACTGTAGTACCTAGCCACTAGTAGGTCAGTGGGGCGAGGGTAGCGGATTATCGACCCATTCCGTTGTGTAGCTCTCCCTTTTCATTTTTCATTGTTCCGATCAACAATGAGTGTGGCCGGACTCAAGTGCCACCGTGCCAACACCCCGAAAACCCGAAGTGTCCCCTAGATGACGGGGGCGATCCCAGTACATCTCACGACTGGGAGCTTACGAAATGCGGCGTAAGCTACTCGAGGACGCGATTCGTGCTAAATCGATGACGAAGAGCGACAAGTCAGCTGTCGACCCGGACGAATCAGGTTCCGATGCAAATGTCGAGACAGCCAGCCCAGCCCGACCAGAGCAGCAGCCGCACCTTCCGAGGATTACCGCCGCGGCACATAGAGTCGCATAGAGTTTTCGAAGGACTTCGCGAGGAAGCCTTTGAGCTGGCACGAGATATCGGTATCGAATCACTCGCGGCCCCCGCAGGGCACTTCGTTCCCTCCTTGGCAAAATGTGCGTAGGGCGGTGTTTCCACTTGCAGCGGAAGAAGCCCGATAACTCTTCCGATCCGAGCCGATGCGTGTTGAGTTGCTACTTGACTTGTCTGGGCTATCCCGCCAGTAAGCCCTTGAGATCAAGGGTTGCGCCCCAAACAAGAAGTCAAGCAGTGAAAGCTTGTACAAACTGTACAATGGTAGGGGCGAAAGCCTTGATGTATCATAGCATGAATTCACGTACAAGGCTTTTGTGAGAAGTGTATAGACGCTGTCAATCTGGGAACCCAATACACGTAGAGAAGTCTGCAAGCTTAGCCTCACACGCAGACTAGGAAAGGTACCAGGCGCCAGAAGGGGCAAGAATCAGAATAGCCAAAAAAAGAAAACCATAGGCTGGACCTAACACATACAGCAGGCAGAGTTTTTGTTTCAGGAAGGCCGATGCACAGAACATAGAAGGCTTCAATAGGAAAGGCAGAATTACAAGCCAGGTAAAAGACCAACGGACAACGGAGACGAAAGTCCCTGGCACTTTCAACGTACTCGACAGAAAGACCTAGCGCATTTCAAGAATTCTCCAGAAACCCGCAAGAACTTTCTGAGGCGGGGTGTTCGTTTGTAACTAGTGCACAGTAGTCCCAAGTAGGTAGTGTACAGTAATCACAGGAACACACGGAAAGCCATGTTGTGCGTCCGCGAACGGAGGCTTAAGCAGACAGCCTGCAGGAAAGGAAAAGTTCTTTGTGAGTTTAGTGTGGGAAGGAGGGCTAAGAAGCCTTTAGTTTCAACACGTGCACTTCAGGGCCGAAATATCAAAGAAAAGTGCGACTCCAGAAACTGAGCGTAATGACGGCATCAATAGGTCGCAGCACGGACGCATCCACTTTGCAGTTCCAGCGGAACAGCTACGTGATCCGAGTTGTGACTGCCATCGCCGTGTCCTTCTCAAGCACCACGATCAAAAGAGTATGCCGGGCAACTCTTCAGGCCGAAACATACGCTTTGCAAAATTACCAGGAGAAAGGTGATCGCGTACGAGCGGCCCCGGCAGCGGTCTTTGGATTCGGATCTCAAAAGACCGAATGGGAATCTCGGGCCGGGCACAATCCCGAATGTCGTGCCCACACACTGCGGTAGCCTGGCAGACCACGTGAATTCTGAAACCCTGCCCGGGTTCAGGATAAAAGGCTTCAAATCGAGCTAAGTGCAGTGCACCGACGTATTTTCAACGAAGGTGGCATGAAAACCTGTGAGGTCGACGCGGTAGACTGGATTGGCACAACTACCCAAGCACATGTGTCTAAACTAGAACAAGGGTCTGTGCAGTTTAATTCAGTTCGAAGCTCAAACCAAGAGAACAGCTTGAGTGCTTGTTGATCTTGCATGCATAGCCTTGGTCTCGAGTTTACCTTGTTACACACGGCTGCTGCAGGGCCCTGGGAGTCATACCGATAGCTTCCCAGTTGCACAACGGAACGTCCACCAATTTCAAGTTTGTCTTGGAGGTTGATGGTTTCTTATTGTTCTCAATGCATGGGGTATCCGAGGAACGTTGAGTCTGTCAGATGGGACATCCAGGCGGCTGATGAATGTTTGGTCTATGTCCAAAATGGTTGCGTGCAGAATGTGCAGCCCACGTGCTGCAGAGAACATAATAGCCTAATCGTGCTTTTAAATTAAACCAATGTTGTTTGACATTCTCAAAAGTGTCACGGGCAACGCAAGGCTCCGAAACTTGAATCCGTCCAACGCAGGTTTTCAGGCCTGATCGGGTTGTGGAGAAGTGCCGCGAAGCTGGAGATAGATGGAGTCAGCAAGCCAAATGCCGACAAGTGACAGACAAATGCACAAAGTCCGCTTCAGTGGCCTTCGTAAACAATCCCGATACGAAATAGCATGTTAGAATAGAAAGTATCCAGGTCTCTGGCTGGGAGAATGGCTTTCGGTTGCCCGTGGGCCTTTGGTACTTCAACCGGGCATTCTCCGCCTCGGTGTTTCGCTCCGTTGTCCAAGCCTTCGCACCGTGAGGTCCGACCCTGACACATCCTGATACCGATACCGTTTTCCCTACACTGGAGTGAAAGCTTCGAGTCTCGGGGGCTGTCTCCTCCATTGTATGACGAACCCAGGACATCGGAAATGCACTTGTTTGAAGGGCTTCGAGTTGGGGAAGATGCATGGCTTGAACAATTGTTAGCCGCTTCAGAGCAGTTTAGAGTTTAGTTCATCAATCGTGAGGGTGGATCGTTGCCGTCACGTAGCCACGTGCAAACGGAGAGATGCAAAGGCACGTCCGATCTGGTCCCTGGTGATCTCATCGAGCTGGTGACGGTCTGCTGCTGTGTCTGCTTTGGGCTTTGCAAACAGTTGCTCCTGTTGCGTAGGTTGCTCGTCAAGAAGGGGCCACCGACAAGGCCCGGGGTGCACCTTTGGAATGAAGCCATGCCTTTTGCTGAGTCTTTGTGCATGCGGTCGCGAACAAGGTTGCCCCGGACATCGTGCCTTGCGACTGTGTGCTGATTCGGGGCGAGGCTCGGCAATGGCTGCTGCCTCGGCGAGCGAACTGCAACCCTGGGTAGGCCGTTGCAAGCGAAGCCAGCCTGACTGGAGAGTCTGCGCCGCAGATGAAGGATGCTTTGGTTCTCGAGGAGTGCTCCGCAATGCTCCGCAGTCCGTGCTTCACAACACTCTGCTCTCCACTCGAGCACACCAGAAGATCGCTCCAATCGCGCTCCCGGCACGACGACGTGATCCAAAAGCAGCCCGAGCCAAAGTGACTCAGTCGACTCGTAGCCGCGAGGACGCCTGCGGGGACATGCACAAGTCGGGCGACTCTTCGCTCGCAAAATTCTGGGTCTGTCGAGGAGGAAAAAAGATTGAAAGTACTAACTGTGTAAGATCTCGCCCGTCCTGCTCGTTCGTCGTGAGTTGGCATTTGTTGGAGTTGTTTTCCGTTGCCTTCGTCTCCAACCGCCAGAAGCAGAAGGCAAATCCATTTGCTCCTGTCCAGCTGGTATACTGGCCGCAGTCACGATATAGAGGGCGAGTGGAGAGCAGAGGTAAAGAAACAGCTGGTGGCCGCTTTTCTGTTGCCTAGACTGGTCTTGGTGGCATCCGACTGAGCCGCTCCTCGTATGATCAGTTGCTTCTCGTCGGAACTTTCTTCTGCGCCTCCATACTCCGCGGCAAACAGACGAACTGATTCTGAGACCTCCTTTGGTTCGTTGTTTTTCACAAGAGTCACGTTCCAAACGATGACCAAAAGTCGACCACCGGGTCAACGTGCAGCATGGTTCTCATGCTCCCTCTGGTTAGGTGACCTCAGGGGTAGGTTACTGTGGATAGCAGATGATCCCAGGGTGTCGCGTCCGACCAGATTATCGGATATTGTCTGGAGCATCAAAGAAACAGGATCCCATGTCCCTGTCGTCAGGACAGAAGCTTGGATCTCCAAGGGGCAGATCGTGTCCACTGCTTGTTCTCAGGCCCCCGCGTGGCAGTGGCAAGCTACTCAGCAGGCCGTGGTCGCAATGCCAGGCACCCGCATTGTACGTGCAACCGAAGGAAGCAACAAAGATGCGCCGCCCCTTTTTGGGTTCAGCCTCGCACTGGACACAACAACAGTAAAACTAAAGCTGTCATCCCAGGCGGATTTGCATGCAGGCGAGGGCCCTGAATGCTGCTGCTTTTCGTACCAGAGTCCGCTTGCGTCCATCGGCGAAGCATGGACAGGTGGTGCTCCTGCAGCGTCACAGGCCGACATCATTGGACATCCATGTCGCCTGCATTTCACGTTTCATGCGGAGCGCAGGTACCAGCAACTCCAAATGGAGGCAGCTTGGTTTTTGTGGTCAGTTGCCTAGTGCCACGGTGCCACGGGCATCGCGTCCGGCGAAAAGACTCTGCCTTGCCGGTTTCTCGTAATGTCGATTTGCATTCACGTTGAGGCTCGAACAGGATTTGCATCCTCGCAGGGCCAGCTTTTGCAGATGATCGAGTTCTCACAGGACAAGGTGGTATTGGATTCGAAGAGGAGGTCATGTGAAGAGTCGGCAATCTAGCTTGCAGGTGTCGGGAGACACCAAGGAGGCCCGTTTGCATGTTCATATATGACGGCCGTGTACGCTGGCACAGACCCGGTAGGTAATCATTGCTTTGTTGATCCTGCTGGGCTTTGCTCTCGTTGCTGCAGGTCCCGGGGACCATCCTGCGTCAAGTGTATAGCAAGATAGATCGCACAGGCTACGTTCTGAAAGTTGGCTTGGAGAAGGGCGACAAGACCCCGCACGAGCTGCTCATCAAGTCAGTTGCTGAGACCCTTTTGCGGCCCGGCGGCCAAGGGCGGCAGAAGTCAAGGCCAAGCTCAATCCATTGAGGTGTGTGCTCATCCTTACGGCTGTGGTGCCAAAGCAGCTGCCGATCCAGACGGCCATGGCGGTCAATACGGTCGGATGATTCGCTTTGTGAATTCAGGAGGTTTGTTTTTGCCAAGGGCCAGACTTGTGCTGACGTCATTGTGCCGTGACAGGCCCTGATGGCCCTCTCTCGGACGGGAGTCTACTGCACTGAGCCATATCGAGTGCCTCTTGCGGGCAAGGCATTTGGCCGCTCTCATCTGACCAGCCGCCATTACCGGGAGCATGTTGGCAGTTGACACACTGCCTTTTCGACAAGACCGGCACTCTCACCACCGACACTTTGGTGCCTGTAGGCTCACCGTGTCCCATGTTGCTTGCCATTGTTGTTTGATATCGTCCCTGAGAACGTGCTTGACGAAGGTGTGGTAAATGCCAGCAGCCAGCCTGAGAAGGACGGCCACCAACATCCGCCGAAGGCACTTAAAAAGCAGCGGTCGGAGGAGCGTCAGAGCCGAGCGGATCGAGCGGGTTCGGAAACGCAGGTGAAGGTCTCCGATGCAGACGCGGCAGCAGCGCTTGTCCTGGCGGCTTGTCACTCCTTGGTCCGGTCCCGAGCCTCGCAGTATGCCCCAACAGAGCCGGCGGCCGGCCCTGCCCTTCCCAGGTCCACGTTGATGGCAAGCTTTCAGGAGATCCCATTGAGGCCAAAACTCGCCCGCTTCCACTTGTGGCCAGCCTTACCACATGATGTGAGGTCGCTGCTCTGCAGGGCGTCGGGTGGGCCTATGATTCACAGGAAAGATAAAGAGCACGTCAATAATGAGAGGTCTTGGGTGGCTTCCTGCTGTTTTGCCAGAGAGGAGGAAACTGCCACGCCTGCGCAGATTCCAGCAAGCACCTCAGCAGATTGTTCTAGATTCCTAGAGAGTGCGCGGAAGTCGCATTTTTGGGTCTTGACAGCCAGCCGATTCGAGGATAGCACTGATGCCAGCGCAAGCAGTCGTGCATATCTTAGTTGCTTTGGGACGTTGTCTGTGCTGTAGCCGGCCTTTTCATTTACAGCCTCTCCCTCTCCCTCTCCCTCTCCCTCTCCCTCGCTCAGACTACGCCGTCAGCAGGGCTTTTGACCGAAAGACCTCTGCCAGGTGCTGGTATCCACCGTGCGCGGATTTTGCAGCCCACGCCTCGGCAAACAGCAGTCCGACATTATCCAGCGGCTATGAGACTTTTAGTGCGGCGCCTCTCCACAGTTCAGAGGCGTTTTCATTTCGCTTCACAGCTGCAGCGAATGGCTGTGGTTGCAGAGGCCGACGGGCCTGCGGCATCATAGCAGCTTGAAGCGTGTACTCGAACCTTCTCGGATATGTTGGAACATACACGAGATGAGGAGGATAAACCGACATAATGCAGCAGCATGTCCAAATCTGTCCATGCCCAATGTCAAACATCGCGTCGCTGCACCGCGACTGCGGGAGGTCTCTGGTACTGATGGTGCAGCTGTGAATCTGAGCATGAAAGGCAGAAGCTTCGCCGAAAGCAGACCAAACAGACATGTCTTTGCTGATCAGGAGGTGGTGGCAATTATGTCCTCGTCAAAGGGTCGCCAGAGGCTGGTACCAAAGAACCACGTTTTCCATGAGAAAGCAACAAGTCATGTGAAGGCCCTGAAGCCACTCTTGGCTGCAAATGCTGCGCCGGGGCCGGACCGATTAACACTTATGCCAAACAACTTGTCAATCATGCCACGTTGCTGCCGACACCATCTCCACTCAGTAAGCAACCTTTGTCTTCGTGGCCTTCGTGGCGAAGGTGGTACGACAGATCTCACCTGGACTTAGCAGAGCGTGGTCTCCGGGATCGCCTCGTCTGTTTGCCGAGCACCAGCGCATACCAGCGCCCTTGCAGAGCCAAGCCGCAGCCGCCAGGTCCTCGCTCTGGCATTCAGGCAGCTGCCGGCGGGGCAGGAAAAGTTGACACGTGAGGAGGCACACCGAGCAGAGAAAAGCGAATCCGTCGGAGTCGTGCCCGACTGCCAGGCAGAGCGGGAGCTCGAGTTTGCGGGCTTCATCGCCTTCGAGTGCCTCGTCCGAAAGGACTCTGGGCTCGTCGTTGGAGCTCTTCAGGAGTCTGACCACAAGGTCAGGACATGCCAGCACATGCCAGAGCCAGGCTCGTCTCCGAAGGTTCGAGTGACACGTGCAGGTCATTATGGTAACTGGCGACTCGCCACTGACGGTGCTGCACTTGTCTTCCGGAAGAAAGGTGGCTATGTCGGAAACCTCATGACAAAGCCCTGGTCTTCGAGGCGCTTCACATCGCACGGACTTGCGGCATCTCTCATCCGCATCTGCCTGGGCTGCTCCTGTCACTGCAGGCACGCTGCATGAATCAAGTTCTCCACTTTATAGCCTGCCAAGAGTGGCCATGCACTGAAGGCCGGAAGCCCATCTCCTGCATGGGCTGTGGCCACAGGCAAGGATTGCTGTCCGAGGTCTTTGTTGTAGACCTGTAGAAATTCCAGCCTTTGAAGGTGATCACTGTGGCGATTCCATCCCGCTCACGGTTGACGGGATCACGAAGCTCGCAAACGAGTACGCCCTCATGACGACAGGACGGTGCTTCTGCCACTTGAAGGCTTATGTGTTACTTGTATTGTTATTATTGTTGCTATTATCGGAATTTGCTGCTGGAGCATGGGGTAGCCACACGAAGCCATACTACGACCAAGCTCGGCGGAGAGGCATTGCCGCAGTGCCATGTCGAGGAAGTTGTGGCTTCCTCTCCCTCACTTGATATCGTCGGGGGGGTACAGGAGTATCTGGCGGGGCCCGCCATTTTTTGCACTGATGATGCTGGTCGGTTCCCTGCCCTTTGGGTTTGGAGTCCGCCTCGGTCGCAGACTATCTGCGTGTCTGCGTGCAGCTCGCACGGCACTTCCGGTCGCCGTGAGTGGATTTCCCAGGATGTTTCTACATGGAAGCGGAGCTAGCGGCCAGCGCAGAGCACCCACTTTGCGGCCCCACCTCAGCCTTTGGGTGGCTCAGGCTCTGCATCCTCTCTACCCTAGTGCCAGCAATTTCCCTTGCTGTGCCGGGAGCTTCCGACGGCGAAGGTTGCGGGTTGATGCCGGTGCTATCCGCTATCCTGTGCTGAGTGTGAGTTCCTTGGGCATGCTTGTGAGGTTTTCTGCTGTGACTGTGAGCCTGGCGACCGCAGGGCGGGACTGCTCGAGCCGAGCCAGAGGGCAAAAGAGTTGTAGTTGCGGGCGTCGTTGCCTGCCAGTGTTTACCGGGGCTTGCCAGCTCGATCATGGCAGCGGAGCACTTGGTGTGCTTCCATTGATTGCGGTGACCTTTGGGAATGAGCAAGGACTTCTCTTTGGACGTGCCGTCCTGGAACGGAGACCCCTCTACATTCCTCTCTTTTGAGACTGTCTGCCGGTGGTATGAGAAGACGCTCAAGGAAACAGATCGGAGGGACGCTGCTGCTCCTGTTTGGAGTCGCTTGACAGGACCTGCCCGGAGCGTCGTCAAGCATTTGAGTCCGGACGATTTTGATTCGAACTCTGGCTTGGATAAGCTCTTCCAGGTTTTAAGATCCTCTCCTTTGCAGACGCTGCCGATTCCCGACTCCTTCTCGAAGCTGGAGCGCTGGCACTCTCTTCGGAGAAAAGAGGAGGAGTCGATTCCGGAGCTGATCGTTCGTGAAGACGACCTGTTCAGGGAATTGCAGAGCAGCCTTTTGAGGTCTCGGGCTCGGAAGCCTGAGGTTCTGGATGGACCGCCGGAGCTGGCGGCAGAGACTCCCAAGTCAGGGGCGGCGGACGCTTCCCCGAGTTCGGCAAAGGAGCCGGCTGGCGGCGATGATGCTGGAGAGGCGGCTGCCAAGGAGCCGGCCCCTGTGATTGAAAGCCGGCTGTCAGCTTAGGCTTAGGCTTCTTCGAGGACGAGCTTCGGGGCTACCGCCTTTTGAAGGCGGCTGGCCTTAACAACGACCAGCAGATGCAGATCTTGACTTTGACCTCTAGCTCGGTTGCCTTCGAGAAGGTGCGCCAGGCTCTGCGGGCACTTTTCGGAGATTCCGATGACAGGCAAGTTCGCCAACCTTGTCGGCGGGGCATTTGGCTATTGGGGAACCTCCGAGTGGGCTGCGGCTGCCTGGCAGGACGGGGACACCGAGACCTTTCAGGACTTTGCGGCTCCAGACGTCGGTGCCGAGAACCCCCCGGACGAGGAGGACGCTGAGGACGAGGAGGCCCTAGTCAATCAGGAGCATGATGCTGCGGCGCTGGTGGCCGAAGCTAACAAGACTTTGGCAGAAGCTCGGGCAGCAATCTCTCGAGTCAGGTCGGCAAGGGGTTATACCCGCTTGGCGGCAAGAAGGGCGGCTCTCCGATGGCGAAGGGCGGCAAGGGCAACTTCGGTGGCAAGCAGAAGGGCAAGTTCGGGAAGCTTCCGGCCAAGGCTGCTTCCTCTTCTTCTTCCAGGGGCTCGGGTTGCTTGATCTGTGGTTCTGGTTCCCACTTGTATCGCGATTGCCCTCAGCGCTTCAAGGGCGGCCCTGGAACAGCTGGCTTTAAAGGAAAGGGCCCGGGCAAGGCTTACTGGGCAGAGCCTGTCTACAGCATCTACTTGGGTGCGGCGGGCTGTGCCGAGGACCTCTCCGACTGTTACACGATTCAGGACGAGGTGCAGCAGGCCTTCCCGGACCCCGGCCCGATTCTCTCGAACCTGCCGACCGCGATTGACCTCGAGGCCGATTACAGGAACAGCCAGCTGACCTACGGCGAGAATGACTATGAGACCTTGTGCTTCCAAGGCGGCTGTGACTTCCACGGCCCGTCCCGGCCTTTGATCCGACAGCTGGTGTGCCTCATTGTCTGGAGCATGCTGGCAACAATTCTTACTGTGCACGGCGCGAGTGGCTTGAGCCAGGAGCCGGCTGGGGCGGTGATGGCTTCCACGAGCTCCCCGGGCTTCATTTTAGATACGGGAGCGACGGAGAATGCTGGGGGGGTCAAGACCCTTCAGGCCGTCCTCGAGAAGACACAAGCTCGCCACTCCGTGTCCTTGTCGCACAGGCCTATGTTCAAGTTCGGTGACGGGTTGTCGCTGAGAGCAACCTCTCGAGTCACTTTGTATGGGACGGCTCTGGGCGAGATTTCCTTTTATGTGTTGGATGGGGATTCGCGGCCTCAGACGCATTTGGCCGAGAACACGCCGGCCTTGATCGGCAGCCGCTTCCTGAAAGGAGCCCGGGCCAACATCTCATATGATCACATGTGTTTGTGGTTTCGGGATCGCAGTGCCAGGCTTTGGGGAACAGAGTTGCTGGAGACCCATTCCGGGCATTTGTTGATTCCTGTGCAGGGCCAGTTGACCGACCTTACGGGTTTGAGGAAGCGGGCCAAGGATCGCTACAAAGTGGCTCTTCCAGCTGATGCACCGACCTTGCTGGATCTCCTTTCCACCCCGGGGGCGTTGGCTGAGCTGCAGAAGTCCCAGGGAAAGTTGTGGAAAAGTACACGGCAAGGGTTTGTGCGAGCGAGTGTGCAGTTCCATGTGAGGGTTGCTCAGTACATGTCGTTTGATCCTGCTTCCGACCAGTGCCATTCTGAAGTTGCTGAGCAAAGTGTTTTTACTCTACAACATGATTGCCAAGTGAACTCGGTGGACCCCCGCTGTCACAAAGGCTTGGGAACCTAGCTCTCCGCCTTGCGCATCGAGTGTCGATATCCACAATTTCTTCAAAAAAACAACCTGGTTCAAATTTTTTGAAATTCAAAGGCATGCATGTTCGTGCACCTGCGCCTCCGTGCTGCTCCTGATGGCTGCCTCGATAGTGAAGGAGGCCGCACCGTTCGACGATCCGAGGCAGGCGGGCTGGCCATGCTTCGGAGCACACCGGGCTGGGGCTATGCGCCAAAACCAGTACAGCCGTTGGCAAGTGTGCAGCCGCTGTGGTCTGAGGTTGCATTACGAGACTCGCATGGCAGGCCACGGCAAGGACAGGTCGGCGGGCGCCTCGGTGGACATTGTGAGCCAGGCGATGCTGGACCTCCACGACGAGATGGAGGCGAGCAGTGTGACGGAGACCATCGTGAAGGGCAAGATCCTCGAGCTGCAGGGCAAGAGGCTCCAGACGGGCGAGAGAGTGGCGCTTCAGGCCTACATGGAGGAGCGCGGACCATCTTGTGGCGGGGATCGTCAGAAGCCGAAGGCCACTGCGAAGGCGGCCGTGGCAAATCGCGGGGCAACTCCAAAGAAGCCGCCAGTGCCAAGGACAGTGCGCGAGGAGTTGAGCGAGGGCGAGGACTGCGGCGCGGACCTTCAGGAGGCTTTGGCAGTGGTCGCCGAGCAGGAGAAGAAGATGAAGTCGCTGAAGGCCAAGCTCAAGCGTGCGGTGGCGGCCAAGGGCAGCGGTGCACATTCGCGGGCAAAGAGCGACCTGGACGATGCCGGGAGCCAGGCGCCGAGCAACATGAGCGTGGGCAGTTTCAATCAGGTTGCCGAGTGAGTGGAGGAGCCGGTGCCGGAGAAGTTTTGAGACCGGGCGTGGAGCGCCCAGTTGATCATGATGAGAGTGGCGATCCGGCACTTCGGGGGCTTCCTTCCAGGAGAAAGGGTTTCACAACCGCCGCGAGGCGGGCTATGCAAGCTGCTGGGGTTACTTACCTCACCACCCTGCTTTGCACTACGACGACACTTTTGAATTCACTTCAGTTTGCTGAGCTTTGGGAGATCAACGGGGGTTTCCCCAAAGGGCCACTTTGGCTCTATGGCGGCCGATATGGGCATCACCTACCAGGCCTTCGCCAACGACTTTGGGCACAACCTCGCGAAGAAGAACGTGGCGAAGGAGGTGATTGCTGACCTCACTGTGAAGATGCCGGCCTTTGTGTGGATTGCGCCGCACGTGCGGTGCACTTTGTCCCAAGCAGGGCTTACGAGCCATGTTTCCCCAATGCAGTGGAGGAATCACCTTAAAGAGCTCAACGGCGATGCAAGGATGTGGCCTGGGAGGCGCACGGGGCATGCGCTCAAATGGATGGTGGAAGGCATTTTGCTTGGGAATGGCCAAGGGACCTCAAGTATGGCCATGATTGTGAAGCCACGCGGCTGATCTTTGATCGGGGCCGCGCTCTGGGCATCGACCTCTATGACTTTGTGGTCCACGGCTGCGCCTACCGCAACGATTCGGAGGTTCACGGGAAGATCATCACTTCGAGCCCTTTCTTGGCAACCTCGCTGAGAGGACGACGGTGTCCGGGGCATAAAGACCATTCTGAAGTTCCTCGTGGGCGCGTCGTGCTTCAATTGGAGGATGTGTACCGATGTGTTGGCAGGCGTGCTTTGGGAACTTCGAGGCCAAGGCCGAGCACTTCGTGAAGATGTGGAGGCATGGGCTGCCGGGGATGATTTCGAGGGCGAGACTGCTTATGCAATGGGCGGTCCGACCGCTCTCTCCACCGAGCAGCCCACCGGGAAGAGGCGTCGGCAAATCAAGGACATGATGATTCGGGTGCACAAAGCATCGGGCCACACGTCCATGGAGAACCTGCCCCGACTTCTTCTTCGACGGGGTGCTCCTGAATGGGCGGTATCGTTGGCCAGGACCTTGTCTTGTCCCGATTGCGATGAAGCCAAGCCACCACATGCCAGTGTCGAGGAGCCTGCTGCGCTTTGGGAAGTGTTAGGCCTAGATGTCTTTGAGTACGAACATGTTGTTGACTCCCAGCCTGTGAAGTCCAAGTTTCTAGTCATGGTGGATTGGGGCTCGCGGTTCACTATGGTGGCCTTCTTGAAAACATATCGTGCTGATGAGAATTGGGAGCCCCCAACCCAAGACATCAAGAGCGCCGTGGGTGAGAGTCTGGTTGAATGCGAATCCTTCCCCTAAGTGGCTGTTTGCTGACGCTGCAGCGTACTTTACTAGTCGTGAAATGATCGACTTCTGTGCGCAGAGCGGCGTGGGACTTCTCGTCGCGCCAGCGGAAGCCCACTGGATGATGGGCGTCGAGGAAAGGACAATCCAGGTCCTCAAGCGGACAGTGGAAAGGAGAAGTCTCCTCCTGCGAACCAAGGCCGAGGAAGCTTTCGTGAAAGCCGATGCTGCTGTCAAGCTGTCCAGGCTTAAGAACACCGTGGCCAGGGCAGCGAAGGAGTATCGCCCCGGCTCTTTGGCGATGCTGTGTGGCGCGCCAGAGTTCGTCATGGGCACGGCGGTTGGACGGGCCCTTTGAGAGTGCTTCTTCAAGAAGGGAGCACGGTGTGGCTGGCGACGGGCTCAACTTTGGTTCGGGCTAAGCTGAACCAGCTTCGCCCTTGCGCAGCGAGAGAGAAGCTCGTCGTTTCCACAAGGGGCGACGATCCACCAGATTGGGGGGGACGAGCTTGAGGAGAACCTTGGGCCAGCTGAAGTTCGCGTAGAACCTCCTGCTCCTGAGCCGCGACCCGAGCGAGACGCCTGGGAGCAGAGGCCGGGCATGCTGGTCAGGGTCCACAACGTGTTGCGTCTGTCACTTTTCTCTCCTCTGAGGATGAAGGACCTCCCCATTTCGGAGGACCAGCTCACCGGCCAAAGGAGGACCATCGTCCGGGGTCCCGAGGGGTTGCAGACCATTGTTGATGATTTCCCGAAAGGACCCAAGGCCCTCTCGTGCCTTCATGAAACAATGGCGCGGTGAGACCCAGTTCGAGCTCAAGGGTCCAGAAGGCGGCGGTCTGCCTCCTCAAGAAAGACAAGCTTCTCTTCAACCAGAACGGCTAGCTTCTCCCCAAGAAAGACCAGCTTCTCTACCAGAACGGGTAGCTTCTCCCCAAGAAAGACCAGCTTCTCTACCAGAACGGTAGCTTCTCCCCAAGAAAGACTTGCTTCTCTACCAAGTTGGTCGCTGCTTCTAGCTCTGCTGTACCTAGTGTACCCGTTCCCAGTCCTTCTCCAGAAGTTGCTCCTGACGAAGAGATGGAACCTGAGACTCCGACTTTGCCTGGCTGGAGTTTGCCTCAGCAAGCGACGTCTTCAGCAAACGAGCAAGTCGTGACGCTTCCTCCACAACCGGAGGGGCTGGAGGAAGAGCACGCAAGTGCGGCTCCCTATACTCTACGTCGGAGGACAGCGACAGCTCTGATGAGCTGGTTCCTGAGGGCTCTGACAACAAGAAGCGATGTGTGGACTACGAGGCCACCCTGGACCACCACGAGTTCATGGGCTACGCGTGCGAGATCGCTTTTGCGGAGAAGGACCTCAAGAGGCTGGCGAAGAAACCGCGCAAAGCAGCCATCTGGCTGTCGCAGAAGATGGCGGAGAGGTCCAAGGAGGTCAACTGGAGGCATCTCACCTTGGAAGAGAAGAAGGAGTACGACGAGGCACAAGCTGTGGAGGTGTGAAACGTGGTCAGAGAGGCTGCAGTGCGCAGCCTTACCTCCAAAGAGCTGTGTGAGCTGGAGTGGGACAAAGTCATGTCAATGAGATGGGTCCTCACGAGGAAATCCGACGGGCGAGCAAAAAGCTCGTCTGGTGGTGCTTGGATACCAAGCACACAACCTCACGGGCGTGGAGACCGCAGCTCCGACACTCTCAAGGACCTCCAGGAACGCCTTGTTGACCGTGGCGGCGAACAACAAGTTCATCCTTGAAAGTGGGGACATTACTTCAGCTTTCCTGCAAAGGCTCAGCAACCTTGACAGTGAGAACCTTCTGGTGTTTGCGCCAAGCGAGCTCTCGGCAATGTTTGGAGGTGACCCAGCAGACCCAGGGTCTGTCTTGAAACTCCAGAAAGCCTTCTACGGACTTGTCCACGCCCCACGGGTTTGGTACGAATCCGTAAGGGCGGCACTTGTCGAGTACGGATGGCGCCAGATGGCCTTGGACCGTTGTTTGTTCGGGATGACTTCCTCATTGCAGGTCGAAAGGATGACCCGAACTACGAGAAGGGGCGAAGGAGCATCTGCGCTCTACCTTCAAGTTCGGCAAGTGGTCCTTGGCTTCTGAGGGCTTCACCTTTGCGGGCTGCTTGTGAAACAGACCTCGGAAGGAATCTACCTCAACCAAGAGGAGTACATCCGGGAGTCGGGTCAAGGAGATCCCCTGGTCCAAGGAGAGGCTGCGCCAACTGAAGTCTCCTGCTACCAAGGAGGAGATAGCAGCTCTCCGAGGTGCTCTGGGCACAGTGTCCTGGAAGGCGACGCAGACAGGACCACAGTTTCAGGCAGAGGTGTCTCTGCTATTGTCGAAGGTCCCTATACGGCTACTGTGAGGTGAACAAGCTCGTCAGAGAGGTCAGACGGAAAGTCCATCTGTACCATAGTGTGGGCAGACGCAAGCCAAGGCAATAGGCCCAACAAGGCCTCCACGGTCCACGGTGGGACACGTCTCCTGCTACGGCCCCGTTGGCCTGCTTGACGGCGAGGAGCAGCTGGCGTTGGTTGCCTGGAAAAGTGGCAAACCACCTCGAGAGACGCTGGGCTCCAACGGCGCAGCGGTCACTGTGGGTGAAGACTCCTGCTTCTTGCTTGGAGCTGTGTGGTTCGAGCTCAACGGCGGCACCGAGAACCGCGAGAACCTAGAGTCTAGTCTGCGCGCCAACACCCAGGGTGCCCTTGTTACTGACTCTAAAGGTATCTTCGACGCTATGACTAGGAGCCTTAGCTCCTTGCATGGTCTTAGGTCGTCTCGTGCGGGTTTCGAACTTACTGTTTCACATCAACAAACTATTAGGCTCAACACGAAACTGCGATGGGTGAACGGCGTGGCTCAGCTTGCTGACGGACTGACGAAGTCAGCCCCTTCTGCTCGAAAAGGGCTCTTAGAGTTCCTTACGAAGGGCCAGCTGTGGAGCATTGTTTACGATCCCACCTTCACGGCCGGAAAGAAGCTGAGTAAAGCTAAGCTTCGGCAGATGTTGAAGGCACAAGAAGAGGCTTTCATCATCCGGTTCAAAGCCTTCACGTCCGAGGCTCATTATCCGTGGTATGAAGATCAAGAGCTTCCCGATCCCTATATAGGTGATCTTAGCGCGCAAAACCTCACGATAATACTACGGATGTGAGTTCCTTGGGCATGCTTGTGAGGTTTTCTACTGTGACTGTGAGCCTTGCGACCGCAGGGCGTGACTGCTCGAGCCGATCCAGAGGGCAAAGAGTTGTAGTTGCAGGCGTCGTTGCCTGCCAGTTTTTACCGGGGCTTGCCAGCTCGATCACTGAGCTTACTTAGCAGGCTGCGAATCAGTAACCATGATGTCAACATCCTCGGGCAGCTCCATCAGCTGTGCACCCTCGTGGACAGATCCATGGATCCCCTCGTTCGTGACTTCCTCGTGCTTTTCCTGCACCACCTCTTCCCGGATCTCCTCTCGAGCAGCTCCCCAGCTCTTCAGCCGCCTGCTTGAGGTGACGGCCAGGGTTTTTTACTTTGGCGGAGTGGAGGTCAGAGGTCAGAGTCCTTGCCAGATGTCCTGGTCCTTGCGAAAGGGGTTGCTTGGCTTTTGGGCTTCTTGTAGTGGTTGCCAACTTAGGTGTGATCCCACGAGACCCAACACTTCTGGCAGTGCTGTCACTGCAGAGACTTGCGCTGCAGACCTTCCTTGGCGCTTCCGATCAGACAGCTACTGGACGCTAAAGCTGTCATCGAAGCTTTGGTTTCCAAGCTCTTTGATGCAGCACGGCCTCAAGTCAAAATGTTTTGAGATGCTTGAGACAGCCACCCCCCTGTCTCTCGCTTCTCGCTTCTCTCGCTTCTCTCGTCTCTCTTCTCTCTCTTCTCTCTTCTCTCTTCTCTCTTCTCTCTTCTCTCTTCTCTCTCCTCTCTCCTCTCTCCTCTCTCCTCTCTTCTCTCCTCTCTCCTCTCTCCTCTCTCCTCTCTCCTCTCTCCTCTCTCCTCTTTCCTCTCCCCTCTCCCCTCTCTCCCCTCTCTCCCCTCTCCCCTCTCTCCTCCCTCCCTCCCTCCCTCCCTCGCTCGCTCGCTCGCTCGCTCGCTCGCTCGCTCTCTCTCTCTCTCTCTCTCTCTCTCTCCTCTCTCTCTCTCTCTCTCTCTCTCTCTTCTCTCTGTCTCTCTCTCTCTCTCTCTCTCTCTCTCTCTTCTCTCTCTCTCTCTCTGTCTCTCTCTCTGTCTCATGTTCGGCACTGCCTCCCAGTTTCCGTTTTCCTCGTATCTGATTGTTTCTGATGGTCCGCGATCATAACTGCCGTGCAAAGATCTAGCAGAGCTGATTTCCCGCTCACGCTCCTTCCCCACACTTTTCCTGCGTTTCTTCCTTGCGCTTGTCGCCTCTATTTGGCAGCTTGACGGAAGAATTCCCGACACGTGCAGCATGACAGACCACACCCAGCCACCTCCAAGATCTTCAGTTCGTACATGTCTGTGATCAGCTTCAAGCAAGGGGCGCTTGGCTTTCCATCCTGCGTGGTCCCGCAGATGTCAGAACACACTTCATCATGTTGAACAAGCCGTCCTAACGAGCAACCTCGTGCAGTCAGCAGGAACCAGCCATAAACAGGCGTGTCGCCCCTCAAATGTGACTTCTGCCGTGCCGAGCAGTGCAGCATTCACTTTTCTCATCCCTGGGAATGCCCCGTAATGCTTTTTCTTGAATCATTCTGGAGCTTTGAACAGGAGAGGCGTTGGATGCGGCCGTTGCCATGGAGCGATGCCCTTGTTGAAGGCTCCTGCTGACGGTGCACGGCTGCACTCGGAACCAAGGCCTGCCCTTTGGGCAAAGATTGACGAGATCCGAGTCTTCGCCAGAATGACACCGCAGGGAAAGGCACTTGTGGCCCGTGGCAGCCGACATTTTTGCTACTTATTGGGGCGGGGTCGGCCGACCATCCTTGGTCAGGCCAAGATCATCGAAGAGCTGCAGAAACAGTCAAGGCCTCCACAATCCAGTCCCAAACGCAAGGCTGCACGACGACTCCCTGATGACTCTCTGGCCAGGCACGTACTCATGTGTGGAGACGGCGGCAACGATGTGGGAGCACTTAAGCAGGCGGAAACTGGCTGAACGTGAAGTCAGGATGAGGTAGAAGAGGGCAGACTGACAGTTGGGCCGGGATTTGGGGGAAGGTCGGTTGGCTTTGACCTTTGGGCGATGGGGCTAGGACGGCTAAAGGAGGACCGAAGGATCCTGGACTCCTCTCGTCGAATCAGACACCTTGGTTTTTTTTTGGTATTGCGCGTGGTTTGAACTCTTGTGATCCTCTTGTGCTCCATGTCACGAAGGCCAGTGCAGCGAGGCTTTCGGTTGTATCCGCGTCAGCAGTAGGGCCCTGGAGGCCGGCCAGACCCCGAAGAAGTTGATATATCATTATCAACTAATATCAAAACCCCCCCCTTCCCACCCTTCACTTTGTTGCTGACTTGTTGAAACTTGTTGATGTGGTTGATGATGCCATCTCTCCCTCCTCTGTCTCCCCCCTACGTCGCTGATGCGGTTGTGGTTGCATGTGAGGATGCTTGGAGCCTCGCCAGCTCTGTTTCGCTTGCCGCCTACGCCGCGTAGCTTTGGTTCCCTTGGCCCCGCCCTTCAAGTGTTCGATGGGAAGCCCAAGAAACCTGCCTGCAACCTTTGCTCCGAAGTGCGAAGTAGGGGGTCTCGGCGTCTCTTCATCGCCATCAAGTGGCCACATACTCTTTGAGCCTGGGAGTGCTGGGGGAGCCACGATATTGGCTTATGTTGGGGTGGTTCTGATGGGGCAGGCCCGACGGGGACCATGCTGTGTGCACCGTATCTTTCGGTCTCGAAGCTTTCTGCTGCAAGTCGTGGACTCTAGGCAGACGCTGGTTTGGCACTGCTGGCTGGCTATGGCAACGCCGCAGGCCCAGGCATGCACTCTAGCTGCGGCAATTCCTTCAATCCTCTTTTGCTTCAAATGTCTCCTGAGTGTCATCGTTGCAACACTCTTTCGCTGGTACCTAGCACTTCAGTCGGTTTCAACCATTATGTTGGTTTTGCCACTAGCATGCCAGTGTCGTGCTGTCAGAAGCCGCCTTAACAAACTACGTTTTGCTGTTTGCAGCCTGCAGTGCTTCTCTCCAAAGGTCAATACTGCAGACACCAATGACATCGACAGTCTGTCTGATGCAAATGCCGTGGTTTGCGACAAGAAGGCAATCCTCTGGTTTTGTGCGAATTTGGACAATCAATGCCTTCGCATGCCTTCGCATACGAGGCCGAGGAAGCCTTAAATAAACAAGATGCGGAAATTGCCAAACGAAACAGACGAGCTGCCAAGGACCAGTTGGGATGCGAATTCAGTTTGCGATTCTGGTTTGCCTCCGATGCTGTCAGGACAGGCAAGCCTTCTTGTGGGAGAAACAGAAGGAGCTTTCGAATCACCAAAAGGAGTGGCTCGAAGAGGAGATGCAGGCCGCCTCAGCTGCATCGCTTCGCACGGTTTCCGTCTGCAAATCTCAGGCGCGTGCAAAAAACGGTGATACTGGCGTTCTCGCGCAGGCATTAGAGAACCTTACATCGAAGGGTGATTGCATGCAAATTGCCTGCTCAGATGGGAGCGATGAAGTCATCCATGGGACGATACACGGAAGAGCTGAAGAAGGTCATGAAGGACTTCACTCAATACTTCGACCCACTTCCCTTAACCCCTTGAAGAGACCCGGGGTCCATAAGGTTGGAGCGAGGTGTGCGGAAGTTTGGGCTACATCTCGGTGCGTGCACACGAAGACCCTGCACCTTTTTTCTAGCTTTTCAGACATGTCCCAACGGCCTGTGTGCTTGCGCGTCAGACATGACGCACTCCGGCATTGAAGCTTGCTTCTCATTGTTTCCACATGCTTCTGGTCAGAGGAATATGACAAGTCTCACGGCAACGTTTACGAGTCTCGGCTTGCATCTTCGGACGCTGGCATCTTGGGGAATGCGGTCGGCAGCGGGACACATACTCGGCACAGCAAATACCAGGATCCGACTGAGAAGGAGAAACAGAAGCAAAGTCCTACTGCTGTCACCGCCCTGGCATCGTGGACCTGCAGTGCCGCGTTGCAGACCAATACCATGCAGGCTTTGGAGGAAGCTTCCGGCGGACTGCCTATGGTCAGGCCCGTGTCAGAGATTGGTATCTCGTTTTGCTGCGCAGCACTTAGATTGAGGCATATTGAAGCTCTGCGCTTTGTAAAAACGATGACTCGGTGGTTCGAAGCATAAGGACAATGCTCCAAACCAAACAGCAACAGCCCACACGCACACACCCACAGACAGGCAGGCAGGCAGGCAGGCCGGCCGGGCAGGGCAGGGCAGGGCCGGGCAGGGCGCCCCCCGGGCCGGGCCGGCAGGCAGGCAGCCAGGCCAGGCAGCCAGGCAGCCAGGCAGCCAGGCAGCCAGGCAGACAGGCAGACAGGCAGACAGACAGACAGGCAGACAGGCAGACAGACAAACAAACAAACACATACATATATACACACACACACACGCACATACACTTACTTTTACACTACTTTCTCTCGGAGGATGAGTGCACACATGGATGGCTTGATGATATTGATGATCATTCTGCAACGAAACTGAGATGAAGATTGCGGTACCCACTATGCCAGACATAAGGAATGGCTTGAAAGGGGGTGGGGCTTCTGCCCCGTTCGGACTGCCGCAACACGAGATCAGAGTCCCGCCAGCTGCCCGCGACGGAGCCTGGTGGGGTGTCTTCGGGAGGCCACCAGGGAGATGTTGTCCCCTGCGTCAGATTCTTTCATGAACGAGAACGGTACACACACACACAGCCCCCGCGATGGGGCGCAGTCAAAGTCCAAGCCAACCAGTTGTGCTCGTGGTCGATTTGGGTGGTGTGATTAAGGGAGGCTAATACGGCAAATCATGGCAAATCTGATATTTCACGGTATTTGGTGGTTTGTTAGGGGAGGGGGTGGACCAGGGCGGGGGGGGGGGGTAAATTGAACGCTTGACATGGATTCTCTGGTTGGGTTGGGCGGGGCGGAGGGAAGCAAACAAGCAAACAAGCAAACAAGCAAGCAAACATAAAACAAAAACACAACACACACACAACCAAACAACCAAGCAACCAAAACAACACAAAAGCAAAACAACAACACAACACAAACTCACAAAGCAACAAAACACAAAACTGAACAGCACAGACCAAAACAACACAACATAAACCAAAGGTTAAACAAAGCAAACCACGCCAAAACCAACCAAGCGAACTGATCCAACGATCAAGCAAACAAAAAAATAAACAAACAAACAAAAAACAAACAAAGTATTTTACTTCGAACATCCCCACCCTAGCTCCTTGTCCTTCCTACACGCAAATCCTAAAACCTAAAGAACCCGAGCCAAAACCTTAAATCCTGGTATTCCCGAGCACTCCCGCGGGCCGCCACGCTGCAGCCGACAACTCTGGTATTCCCACACACTCCCGCGGGCCGCCACGCTGCAACCGAAATCCCTTTGTATTCCCAAGCACTCCCGCGGGCCGCCACGCTGCGGCCAACACAGCAAGATTGGGGCTGATTCTTCACACGGGTTGTGATGGGGGTTTAGCATGTTTGTATAGCACAAGATGCTATACACAATATGACAGAAGAGTACGTGTGGAATCTGCTTGTGACAAACGAATCCGATGCATTATGAATTAAGCCTCGAGGCTGCGAGGCCCCGGCAGATTCCAAAGTTGGGATTGGGCACTCCAGGGAATCTCACGGTATTCTCACGGAAGTCTGTGGGGTTGGGTACTCCAGGAGGTAATCTCAGCGGGCGAGGAATAATAGCTGACTTGAAAATCCAACAACCCCACACCGAGGGTGGGGAGCAAACACACACACACACACACATCGAGGCATATCCGGTCGAAACCGACTGTTTTTGTTTGAATGTTTCTTCTCCGGAACCTCTTCCTTGCGATCTTGACGTGAAGCAAATCTGCAGGCGCGTCCGGTTGATCAGAGTGGATATCAGTCCCCGATGCAAGCCTGTTTGTTGGGGTGGCACTTGCATTTACGGTGCTGTCTTCAGCATGTTTTCTAATGCGAAGTGCTGTGGGTCTTTCGGCTAAGGTACTGAGTAGATGGCCCTTAGGCCGATCCCGCTGGGCATCCTCGGGGGCTCTTTGGCATCTCTTCTCTGCAAGTTTGTCGAAGACCGGTTCCCTTTGGACATTTCACCGGGCCCGACTTTGGCTCCGAGTTGTCTCGTCGTTGACCTGCCTGACTTGCTCCATTGGCCTTCTGTGCTAGTGGGTATCGGTATTGGGTTGGTTCTAGGGCCGGTTGTGGATTTGATTTACCTTCTTCGTGTTTGGTGGTCAATTCTTGCGCGGGAGCGAGTTGCTGCGCTTCGGTTTAGACCGGCTCCCTTGTACTACCGCGTGCCTTGAGCTGTGCATGCGTGACATGGAGGCCAAGCTCATCCACCTGACCGCTGCCCTTCGCGAGTTGACTTTGCAGGTGCGCAGGCAAAGCCGCGAGCTCCAGGCATTGCACCGGCTTGTGGAAAGATGTGGAGAGCCGTTTGGATTTTCAGGTTGTTGATTTCGAGCGGGCTTCTGAGACTTCGGCTGCCGCCGTCGGCACTCCAGGCCGCGGAAACATAAGCCCTACTCCTGCCTCGAGCGTCCAGCCTGCCTCTGCGAGCGGTACTGTTCCGCCTTTGCCGAGTGCAGCCAGCCGGCTCATCAGTGATTCGGATCGCCGGGCCATAGCATCTTTCGTCGAGCCCTTGCGGGATAGCACCGTGGCAACAGCGTTCGCGAGGAGAATCCTCTAGGCTCTAAGGTTTACGTGCTAGTCCGTGACCATCTGAGTCACGTGTACGATCCCCCGCTTCTTGTTTCTTTTTTCAGCCGCCTGAAAGGGTTCGTGAAGCCCAACGGTGTAGTTGTTGAAGGCACGATTCTGCGGATTCCCCACTCAGTGGGAAGCCTCCCTCGCCTGCAGCTCTTGAGGCCTGCAGCCTCCTGTTGCTCGCGATATTTGAAGGTGAGCCTGACCGCCGACCTGGAGGCAGGAGGCGGAGAGTCTTTTGTGTGGGCCGGCTGGGCTGTAAATTCGGAGTAGATGAGGTTGGGCACTTTGACCGTGGGCGAGGGAAAGACCGTCGCCGCAGTTTTGGTTGCAGTTATGGATAAGAAGACTTTAGTAGTTGTCCCGCGAAAGGCTTGGGACCGAAAGGCACAGGAGCGGCGCCTTCCGAAAGGCCCCCTCCAGAATCCGATGCTAGTCGAAGTCACAGTTGCCTCTGGCGCTGACAGGGCCGTCCCTGCAGCTGGGCAGCGGATGAAAGTTTGGTTCGGGTTGCTTGAGCCCTCCTCAGCCGAGACCGTTGTTTTTGATCACCTAGTGGAGATTGACTTTCGGTCGGGCGAGCGGCCTTGCCTTCCCACCGCTCAGGCCCTTGTTGATGCGGGTGAGGCACACTTCGGGTTTCTGGGTGCAGTCAGCCAGGACAACCCAATGTGATGTTCGACAGCCGCTTGCGGGTTTTGGAGGGCACCATGGATAGGATCAGCCCTAGTCTGCAGCAGTTGCTCGCCCCAGTTCGGGCAAAGACGAAGGCGCAGCTGGGGAGGCTGGCTCAGGTGCCGACGACAGCGGTGCAACGGCTGCTCGGATCGAGACCGCGTGCTGAAGCTTACAAGGCTGATGGGGAGTTGGTGAAGGATCCCGCGCAGTCCTCTTCTCAAGCTCAGACCTTGAAGATAGCCCTGATCTGTGCTGAGGGGTCGGGTTCTTGGGATTCCGGCAGAAGCTCCTCACCGACGGGATGCCGAGGAAACGGTGCATGAGCCTGCTTCACTACATGGAGCCGCGACCAAAAGGAACTGATCCGAAGTTGCCCTGAGATTCGGACTCAACTGTTCGCTCTTTGTGTGCTTGCCGGGGGCCGGGCACAGACTTGCGCCGCGAGCAGCAATGATTTGGTGGTACTGACGCTTCAGATATAGCTGCGGACTTCAGAGACACACCCTCCGACCGAGTCAGGTCATGCGTCGTCGTGCCGGGGCTCTCCCTTCTGAGCAACAGTTCTCTGGAGAGAGCTACCGTACACACCCCATATGGTCGGTGCTGGCGCTTAGTCTTCGGTTTCATAGTGTAGCCAGCTTCCCTCGGAGGGTTCGATCTCACATCAATTCTAAGGAAGCCGAAAGCTGTTTGATCAGCGGGGAAGTGTTAGCCGTAGGCCCTGGGGCAACAGGAGCCGGTAGATCAAGCAGCGGGTCCCTGAACGCAGTCATTCAATCTTCGAGCATCTTTTTCGGCCTGCGCCCTGGTTTTTGGTTTGTCGCCTCTGAGGACAACCCGAGCGACGACGGAACACGTGGACAGCCCCGGCGAGGCCCCTCCATTCAATTGCCTGGCTGGTATGTCGCAGGCGAAAGTTGCCCCTCTCCAACCCAGCTGACTGTCGAGAATCCTCTGGCGGCCCTTGCGAAGATATCTCGGAGATCAGGAGCGCGACCGCGCCGCTCTCGGCGCCTCTGCGTCTTCTCAACATGCTGTTTCAGGTCTGCCTGCGAGCTCGCCTTCGAAAGAGAGCGTGTCATTCTTCAGGAGGTGTGCGGCGGGCCAGTTTTTGTGGTCGGGTGGCGTGCAATCTGCTGCAAACGTCAGGCCGAGGGTTCCTGTTTACCTTTGCCTTTTTCAGTGGCTCGCGCGGCATCGCCCGCACTTTTGCAAAACTTTCTTCGATCAAAGGACTTCCCCTTCGGCCTCTTTCAGATGCCACCAAGGTTGAGAGTGAGAACCGCAGCGTCTCTGCGGCCTGGGCCCCCCCTTTGTGGATTGACGCTCCTTTGTCCTCTTGCCTGGTCCCTCCCTGGATTTTTTCCGTGCTGTCTGCGCTCCCTGAGGATGCCTCTGTCTGGGACTTTCGCCGCTGCCGCTTCGGAGAGCCATGGCTGAGGCGCGCTTCTGCCATTCCCATGTTCAACTTCGAGGCCGGTCCCAGCTTTGTGGAGCTAGCAGGGCGAAGGCGAAGGCTTTTGAAAGCTTCCTTCACGAACGAGGCGCTCGCTGCCAGTTCGAACCGAGCCGTCGAGAAACAACGGGGGCCCGGAAACGCGTCGGTCGGGACGGCTCGCTGTTTGATGTCGAGCTGGTCGAGCCGAGGACTCTAAAGTTTGGGAGAGCATCTAGCCACCCTGTCCGAGGCGGCCCTCTTAGCCCTTTTCAGATGCCCTTCCTTGCTGGTGCTTTCTCTGCAGGAGTTACCCCTTGCAAGGCTCCTACCGCCAGCTGTTGGCCCGCTGGCAATGGAGCGGGGCTGGCTGCGCTGGGCAGCAGCTTTTTTTTGGGAATGTTCTTCTTCATCTGCCGCCCGGGCGAACTTCTGAAAGCTCGCCGTCGTGATCTACTCACTCCCGAGGACGCTCTGGACGAGAACAGTGGGTGGTTGTACTTGCGAAAAACGAAACCGAAGAGCAGGAAAAATTCAGCAAAAGTTCAGCGCATGAGCTTGAACGACTCTATACGGTTTTGAACTTCGTGTGCCTGGTTTGGCAAACTTGGATAGCAACGAGCTGCTCTACCCCGGGTTTCTGTCCGCCTTCAGGCGGCGTCGGGACCGACTTCTGCAACTGCTGCGAGTTCCGGCCACTATGGCCCTTACTTACACCGGCCTGTTGCAGGGCCGGCGGAGCCCGGCGGAGCTATCTACGCTTTTCAGCGTGGTACCAACGTGTCTGACCTTATGTGGTGTATGCGCTTGCGATCACAAGTTACTCTGGAGTTTTATTTGCAAGAGATAACAGGAGCTTCAGTGCGACGACGGATCAAAGCTGCTCTGTGTTTCTACAAACGGGTCGAGGTCCGGGCCATCAATCAGTGTGGGCGCGCTGCGCGGCCCCATCGTGGAGTGCAGGCTTCAGCGCCTGAACAGGCCGCGACAGAAGAGCCGTTGCCGAATCGGGCATCGGCTTCTCGACCACGAAAAGCCAAGCTGCGGGGTTGACAAAACGAGAGCCGCCGGAAGAGCATGTCTTCAGTCTTCAGCATGCTTTTTAAGGCGAAGCCAGGACTGTTTCGGAAGCAAACAGGCGGGTGCATTGCAATGCGGTGCGCTCGTTTCCTCGCAAGGAAACGAAATAGGTGCAATCAGTGGGCCGGTGCCGAAAGGCCAGTGCCCAGGCGTAGTAGGCCGGTGCGGTGAGGCCAGTGTCCGAGTGTAGAGGGCCGGTGCTAACAGGCCAGTGCCCCTTAAACCCCTAAGCCAGCGAAAAGGAAACTCGAGCACTTCAACATGTGCACAGTCCAGCCCACTACATACGCCGTCCCACCCCATCCGGAAAGCAAGGAACCCTGAGAGTGCACGTCCGAAAAACAGCAGGCAAACACAGACCCTTGCACATGCACTCCTTCATGGATCATCACGCGGCAGCGCACTCAGCCCTCACGGCCTCAAACCTGCCTGAGCCGAGACACACATTCGACATTCGACGAAACGAGTGATCAAGCTCGCGTGATTGTCTCGCTTGCAGATCAGAAGGCCAAACGTGTTTTCAAAGTATTGGTTTTGCGAGTGCAGGCTGGTGACAAGTCTTAACTGCACATCAAGCCTCAGAAATTCGCATTGTGCAAGTGGTATGCCAACAGCTTCCAAAGCAGAGGAATGAATCGCTAAAAGAAGGTCGTCGACTTGATAGCACGATTGATCAGCCGTCGCAATACGATTGTCAACATAGCCAGCGAAGACACAACAAATGCTTAGCTGGATATTTAAATTCTTTTGCATGATCCTGAAACCATCGTTGTTCCAAGTGCGCAAAACTGATAGTGGCATGTGCACGCGAGAGTTGATGTCCTATCGCGGTGCTGTGTTTCTGTGCGAATAGTCTGGAAAACATCGCGAAACCCTATCCGATAGACTCCCCGGCCAGCTTTTCGAGGCTGCCATTTCCAAGTCTTAGTGTTGTTATATTCTCGCAATGAGAAGCTGAAACCGCACGTGGCTAGCAGGATCAATTTTGTGGATGTTTTGAAGTCGTCGCAGCATCCGATCTGCAGTCTACAGAATCCTTCGTAACAGGAACGCTAGTGACAAACCCCACTAGATCTTGATCATTGTCGAATCCTAACTGACAGTCAGGTGCAAGTTGTTCGAAGAATTGAGAATCTTCTGCGCCACAGAAGGCAATGTATCCAAGCCGAAACCGTTGGGTAGGGAATCACCCACCACCCACCCACTCGCCCGAGGCCCGTCCAGCACATGCTGCAATGCAAGCACCGGCACACATGCACCGCAGGCCTGGAGATGCCTCCATTGCCGCGCCATTCACTTCCAAGGCCACTGGCTGTGTGGCTGCTGTTCGTCAGAGCTGGGCGACTTTGTCAAAACTTGGTTGACTGAGGCGCCTTCCGTCAAGAACTGTGTCGATTTAATTCGACAAGGTCGCTGCACCCTGCTCTCAGTCAACATCTGAGTCCGAGCACGAGGGAACATTTAAACCCTCAACCCAGTTGCCCGTGGCTTAGGCCCTCCAGCAGCAGCAAATCATGATGTCGTTGCCTCAATGGGATCTCAACGGGCTTTGTACAGAGTATGACGAGTATGGCTGTGGCAGTTCCGGTCCAGCACAGCACGTAGCACAAAAGCATGATTTCAAGGTTGAACTGCATTATCAATGCCTACGTGCTCTCGGCGCTCTCCTTAGAAGGCTCTCGCACCTCGGAGAGGCCAGGCAGAGATTCGGTCGGCTCTGCAGCACGAAGTTACGAGCTTTTTGGTCAGCCAAGAGTCGTGTCGCTGGGCTCGTCAGGCAGTTGATGGCCTCGTCTTGGCTGCTGACGACAGCATCTCTTGCGTTCACCTACGCTTCACCATGCTACTCACCTGGTCTTATGGGCAGTTCGTGTACACCTGAGCCTCACAAGAGGATGATTCTCCGCTTGGATGGCTGCCAGTAGGAAAAGCAGTCGGTGTTGGCGGGGTTGGATGCTTGTTGACTTGTCATCGTGATGCTGTCGCGGTTTGTTTCTTTAGCCACTTGTTCCGGCCGAGGTGATCGTATGCATCCTGTCCGTCCTCTTCGGTCACTTTTTCATCCAGCCGTCTTCTTCTCCATGCTTGGACAGGCCGAACTTAACATCATCACAAGCGTGAAGCGGCCTAAAACCATCAAGTTCCGTCAGATCTGGATTCCCCGATGCATAACCGAATGAGGCTCAGGTGTTCGGAGCAAGGAGCCGTTACAGAGAAGCTTGCCAAGGGTCCGTCCGGGGAGAGCGTACGAGCTGTCTCCCTCATTTCGGGCTGCCTGGACAGACTCGAATCTCCCAGACCTAGACCGTCCTCAAAGCTTGGGGCGGATACCACGAGACACACTTGCCTCTGGGGTTCGGTCGCAACGTGACTCCCGAACTGGCTCGGTCATCCTCCGACCACCGCAGTCCGCAGGCTGCGATACATCTCTTTTGCATGGTCCGTCTCTCAGCTGGCATTCTTCCTCTGCTAGTCTGTCATGATTTTCTTGACAGGTCGCCGCCGTAAAAATGGCAAGGGCAGCAATGGAGGAAGACTCACCCGAAAGACAAGCAGGCTTCGTCAATCTTCGTCATGCCTGGCCGTGCCGCTGCTCAATGCAGGAATCTCTCGCAAAAGCTTGGTGCTGCCATTCCATTCGGCACTTGTTCAGGCTGGTCTGGGCCGTCGCTGAAGGCCAGCAGTGCGGAGCACGGCCTTGACCGTCGCCTCTGCTGTCGTTGTGGTGTTTGAGACATGTTGTCCCGCGGAGGATGTATCAGAGTTCTGGAAGAGGGAGAGAGCCAGACGGCGTGGTTTGATTGAGCAGGATCGAGTCGTTGGAGTTCATTGCCGGATTATGCTGAATTCCTACAACTTGTGCAAGGAGGAAGAGGAGGACTGGACCACGTATGCTTTGAATATGTGGCAGCAGCCGTTCTTGCACCGATCTCAGTTGGACACAAAAGGAAGCAAGGACTTGTCACGGAAAAAAACATGCCCATGAGAAGGCCAAACCTGATGAATACCGTGGTGTTTTTGGTCGAGACAGCAGCTGACTTACAGATTACACGACAGCGTCACGACAGCGTCTCGTGCGGCGCGGAGATGGTGTGTGCCAGTTCCCAAAACTCAGGCGCAGACCGTCGCCATCCTCTTTGTGAACTACAAGGTGCCCTAAGAATCTTCCCCAGAACCCAGGCTCCTCAGAGTGGGGGATTCACAAATCCTGGCGCTCAGGGCCAGCCATGGATGAAAGGAGTCATGGAGAACCGCGCTGGCGCCTCATAGAGTGGTAGAGTGGGATTGCAGCAGATTTCGAGGGCAGCCTGCCGCCTGCCCGAGGCTTTGTTTCTCTCAGTGGTAGTCGTTGCTGGAAGCGTAGCTGCAGCAGCGCTGGATCCTCGTATTACATGCTGCATCATGTTGCAACGAATTGGAATGATCCTGGATTCAACCCTTCGATGCTCTCTTGATCATGTTGTGAAACCCTCCGATAATTATATTATCCGATGACTTAACGGGCTCTGGCAACTGAGGTGGGAGTTCCAGCCGCAGCTGAATGCCTTGATTCACTTGTCGCCTTTTCCGAATGTTCCTTGTCAATGACAATGCCAGCGAAGGTCAGCATTCGAACAGCATTTGCTGCTCTGTCAGGACCAGTTCCGTTGGCAAGTCATGGGCCTGGTTGGCATGACGCTGGCGGGCACCTTCATTTGGGACAGGTTTTGTGTTTATCTGTTCGCAAGCGAGATCTTCAAGGCCAGCGGGGCCGCACGGAAGCCTAGTGAGGGCCCTTCTGGCCATTGCTGAAGGCCATGGTGGACTCTGCCAAGAAGACAACTTTTAGAGCTGACATTGTGCCAATCTTCTTCACGATCTTGAAGGCACAGAGAAAGCACAGAGCAGAAAAGGCAAAAACATTGCTTTCTGCACTTCTTTGGAGGTCATGGCCTGCTTCCTGGTCCTCGGTACCGGCAACTTGCTCATGGCTGGCTTGGCCTTCTGGATGTTCTGCCCTCGCTGCCGCCTGGACTGCCTGTACCCTCAAATGCCGGCCGCAGACAAGGTATCGCCGCCATTCGCAGGAAGCTGATGAATAAGTGCACGTGGCAGTGCTGAGGCGGGCACGAAATCTGCACGGCAGTTGCCAGGGCTAGTGTATGTTGGTCTCGCATGGGAATGCAAGCAAGGTCGACGCCTTCATTTAGTTCTTCGCCGGACCCCTCCCCTTGCAGATGCGATGTTCTCGGTGATTCTGTGCCTCAGCAGTGTCTTTTTGTCTGCATCATTGGCGGATGCAGGCCATCGTTTGATGCTCAGCTTGGCGGGTTAATGAATCCAGATAGTGGGTGATCTATCAGCCACTGTCTAGCTCTGACCTCTTCAGCAGCGTCAGAAACAAAAGTGCCGTCTTCCAGAACATGAGTGTTGATCCAGCTCAGTTGCGTTCGTCAACATAACCCCGAGTCTGCCTAGTGGGGAGATGTCGGAAGTAAAGAGTTGTACTGGTAGTTCCAGACTTAGTAGAGTACGACCACCCCCTCGAATAGGTGGTTGGTGGGGGGACGTGAGTAGGATTCCCACCTATTCTTCCTGGGGACGCGCCACCTATTTTTCCACCGTGGGGGGGGGGTTGAGAAAATAGGTGGCGATCGGTAGGTTTGGAGGGCTTAGATCCGTGTTTCGAGCGTGAAGCCGTGTGCTGTGTGAATAACTAGTAGGAGGAATGCCAGGGAAGTAGGTACAATGTGGTGGTAGAATCCACACGGAGAAATAGGTGGCGGGCCTGGCGCCAAGTCTAGGTTTCGTGTAGCAGAGACCACACAAACCGTAGGGTCCTCCCCCTGGAATCCCCCTATATCCGGATCTATCCCTAGTCCACCCGACCAGTGTCTACGTCAAGGATCGCGATACGAATATAGGTGGCTGCCAGAGGGCTGGCTCTGGGGTTCCTGCAGCAGAGACAGCAGAAACCGTCGGGTCCCCCCCCCCCCTGGCATCCACTCAAAAACACTCCTGGACTGCCTGCTATCCACAGCGACAAGAGACTGCAGACCCTGGGAGTCGGACCAGGCCTAGTCACTGGGCCCCGTAGTATACTAGTAGGAGGAATGCCGGGAAGTTGGTACAATGTGGTGGTAGAATCCACACGGAGAAATAGGTGGCGGGCCTGGCGCCAAGTCTAGGTTTCGTGTAGCAGAGACGACACAAACCGTAGGGTCTTCCCCCTGGAATCCCCCTGTATCCGGAGTCTATCCCTAGTCCTCCCGACCAGTGTCTACGTCAAGGATCGTGGTACGAATATAGGTGGCTGCCAGAGGGCTGGCTCTAGGGTTCCTGTAGCAGAGACAGCAGAAACCTATATAGACCTGACTCGTCTCACACCTTTGTCCCCTAGAGACATGGGGGTTTGCATCTGAGCGGACCCCCCCCCAGCATTCCATGTACCCGGAAATAGGTGGCCCACCTATTTGGGGGGACCCCCCACCCCCCCACCCCCGCGAAGGGGTCCCCCTAGTAGAGTAGTGCTTGCGCTGTCTGAATGGAATCTCATCGGGGGCTCAGCCACACTTGTGAAGATTTTCATCCAGGGTCTTAGGTTTGATCGTTTGTACTTTGTTCTGATCGGATGCCGCACGCTTCGCTGTCAGCCGCTATCGTTCGTTCGAGGAGAAAGCTTTACTAGGCAGTATTGGTGCACCCCTGTTGTGGACTGCGGAGGTGCTTTGCAATGCCCTGTTCATGCTGAGGTCCTAATCCGCCCACCGTTTATGTTGGCGAGCGATGCACATTCACACACAGACTGAACCAGAGATGTTGACACGGCCCTGGTTCGGCACTTCCCCGTACCCACAGCTTCATTGGCCATGAAGGAAGGGCCATCCCCCGCAGACGTTTCGTTTTTTGTACACCTTGCGACTTGTCACAATGTTCAGGTATGTATGTATGTGTATATATATATATATATATATATATGTCTATGTGTTATATATATATACGCACACATATATACATACACATACAAATACACACACACACACACGCACACACATTCCCACGCACTTTCGGCCATGTAGGCAGTGAAAAGGATCTGGGCTGCAGCTACCTGTACACAAAGCAGCTGCGCCGGTTGATGGTGTTTCTTTTATGCCGATGCAGGTACACTGGGTGGATATGACCCAGTATCTGCCGTTGCATTGCGCTCCTCGTTAGCAACCAACTATGCGTGCGTACCCGACGTCCACATCTACATTCATTCACGTTGCAAGTTGGCAAGTGTTGCCATCTGCCACACCCTATGCATGCAGATAGCCACAGATCATCTACGATAACCTGTTAAAGTTTCCTCGGCAGATGTTAAGCAACCACAACCAACCAACCAACCAACCAACCAATCAACCAAAACACACACACACACACACTTGCATCAGATCTCACGATCTGGAATGTCGTCAGTGATGTGGCTCTTGTTCGTTTTGTGTCTTTGTTGCTGCACCCGTGCTTCTGATTTGAATCGGACTCTAGGCTTTTTCCTAGACTTGCAAAGGATTGCCAGCTGCCATGCCGCAGCCCTTGCACACCCGATGTGGTGATGCGGACCCCCAGCTGCCACACAGGGCCCAAGAGCATCCACGCCAAAGATGCAGGTGCGTTTACAGCACAACGCCGTCAGGCTCTTCGTTGGCTGCTCCCGGCCCCCTGCTGACTCTACCGACAACTTCAAGCACAGATCTGACTACACTAGTCACTAGCCCTTTGTTACAAGGATGACACACGCACACACAGACGAACGCAGACACAGACGCAGAGAGCTGGCGTAGACCTCAGCGGCTCCCCGCACAGTGCGGCTTCGGTCTTGCAACTGCTGTACCAATCGGGCACGGCCCCCCAAACTACAAGGGCTGGGTTGCCAGTTACTTCGATTGTGTGTGCATGCACTGCATAGGAGAACGAGTCGGACAATGCATAATTTAATCGAGGAAAGAACAAGTACAGCCCTGCCTTCCGTATCATGTGCCAGTCGCCGCATGTCAACATGTCCGGCACACGGCCGCTTGCGACACGGTTGGCTTTCAGTTGCAGGAGTACTTAATGATCATATTTGCTAATTGCACCATGTTTCTCCCACATGTAGCCGTGACGGGTGTCTACACAAGTGCGAAGGTGAACGAGCCATCTTCGCCAAACATATCAAGCCAAGTCAGTCCAAGTCTACTTTCGGCAGGCAACTATTGACAAAGCCGAAGAAGCCTCGACCCACTTTGTATTTAAGCGTACCGTTCGAAAGCGAAGCAGTAAACAGCAGCAAACACAGCAAGCATCCGTCGATGAATGGCCCGTGGCCACAAGAGCGAGGCGAACGGGCCAGGGGCGGGGGTGTTGATTGCACCGAGACTTGTATTTAGCACTTCGCGCCTTCGTCCGCCTCGGCCCGGGTCGCAGGGTGCAGAGGCCGCCCTCGGGGTTCTGGTCACGGTTAGGTAGAGGTGTGGGGTGGGGGGGGGGTCTACGTGTGGCCAAGCGGCCATTTAAGTGGGGGCTGGGTTGCAGGGGAGGGGAAAGGAGGGAATTTTCGCTGCTTCGGCCGGGGCCGAGTCGGCCCAGGTACTGGCTGTTCGATCCATTTCAATCCTCAGGAAGATGCTTTTGGAGAGGACGAAGGAGAGGACGCGTACCGGTCTCAGCAGGAAGGTCATGACATGTCGTTTTTCCGTGGCGCATATTCAATGCAGACACATGCCAGGTCAGTCAACGACAAGGTCCAGGCTCTGTTTCTGCTGCAGCATGCTGCAGCTGTCATCCTTTGGTTCGGCTTGGGCGGACTAGAGCTGACAAGCAATGGGTAGAGATCTTGCGAGGCTCATGTCTCAAGATCCAAAGACAAGCCCAGCAGACGCCGCAGCCTCACGCAGCCATCAGTGTTTCCAGTGACCGTCGGTTGAGACGTGCCAGGGCGCGACAGCGTCACAAGTGCGACCCTGGGCTTCGACGACTCGGATGATTTCTGCGCGCCAACTTCTCTGCAGGTGTGCAATATAATTTGCTCATGCGAGACCGTGCTTTCACCAAAGAAAATTCTCGCAGACTCGTCATTGGACTTTATGATGGTGTACTGTGCTGTTTTCAGGCCTTCTCCAGTTCGGAATATCCAACTTGCTGTGGTGCCACTGGTTCTGTGCCGGTACTCCTTGGATCTTTTTTGAGTGCACCGACGAAATATTTAGCAGAGGCTTGTTCTGCCAGTTTTGCTCATCTTAGCACAAACTTGCCGCTGGAAACCTTTGTTCGCTTCGCAACGTGTAACTTGTGAATCACGTCACGGCTGACAGCTGCCGGGATCATGTTGGAGGCATCCGAGCAGGCGATCCTCACCTTGCGAAGGCAGGGGTGGGGCTGGGGTAAGCCGGGCAAGCTGATCTGCGAACGGCATGCAGTCGCTGCAAGCGCCTGGACAAGGTGTGTAATGAAATATCGCGTTACTTCCGCCGGTGTGGCACCCAGGCAGTCTGCAGACGTCAGCCATCGCTCGGGCGAATGCATACCATTGAACATCCAGTAGCGCTGTGAATCTGATCGACTTCCGAATCGGGGGCAGACGTCGATGCGGTTGCGGAGACAGGTCCCATTGACCCTTACGTGCAGGAGCTGCTGGGACCTGCCAAGGCAAGGAACTCCAAGTCATCGGAAAACGTCGCCCGATCGGCATCGCAGGCTCGAGCTGTGCTGGCAGACGAGAACCGTCTGAAGCTGCTGATGGAATCGGTGGATGCAGATCCGAGGAACGTTGGAGTGCTACTAGTAGCTGCTAGTCCACTAGCTACTACACCTCGCTAGAGTCTAGAGTCTTTGCCTCGCCCATGTTCAGGCCAGAGGAGGCCTGCCACGTGCCTCACAAGTTACAGTCAGATCGAGTGTCGGGGGCTGTCTTGGTGCTTCTTAAAAAAAATGGAAGGCCGGACAGAAAGCCAGGCCGGGCACCGGGGCACCGACACCAAACGCTTTCAGTTGTGACGCGCTCTGCTCTCTTGCGCTCTGCTGGCTCTGCTGCTTCTGAGGGGGCTCTTCCGAAAAGTGCACGCAGCAATGAAGTTGAAGAAGCACGAGGAGCTCCGCGATCTTTCCAAAGCCCGTGCAGCTCAAGCCGCGAAAGCCACCTTGAGGAAGAGCCCGCGGACGAAGCGAGGTTTGACAGTGCTTGGCATATGATAGTACTTCTTCCAAGCCAGCTCGCTGTCAAATCGCAGCCATGTCAGGCAGGTGGATGATCTCGCCGTCCTCCCACCCGATGATCCGAACAAGAGGAGCCTGGAGCCTGACCACACGCAAAGGGACGAGCCCCGAGCCCAGGACGAAGCGGAACTCTCGTCGTGAGTCTCGCCGTCGCTCTTCACAAGAGGCGGACTCCGGACCTCCTCTGTCGTCTGTCTTCCCCATCCATCATCCTCCATTGCTCCATCCGAGAATCCACGATGTCGGGCCCGGTAACAGTGCATCCTCACAGCATTAGACGCAGCGCCTCTCTGCCTAGCCTTCCGACATCAGCCTGAGTGTAGGTCGTTCGATCAGTTTAGGTCTGGGGACCGGAGGGATCGACAGCGGCTTCATCCAAGCCAAACGTCTAGCGACCGTCGCTCATAGCTGTGCCAGGCAGCCAAAGTGGCCGGAGCGCCCAAAAGCCCGAAGAAAACACGTCGGGCATCTGCGGCCGGGCAGGACTGCCCAGGTCGATGTCTTGGCCGTCCGGTTTTGGATCCAAGTCCATGTCTGGTACAGTGTTGCTTGACTTCTTGCAACTTGGACTTGCTCTTCAATCCCAGGGCGAAGAAACGAGTTTAGTGTGGTGCGGAAACGGCTTGGCATGTGACAGCATGGGCGCAGATGGGGCGATTTTCCGCAAAAGCTTTGCTTGGCCTGCAACTCGCCACAGGACAAGGTGGAGCTCCCCGCTGTGTCTTCCCCCAAGAAGCGAACCTGATATCAGCGCTGCTAGCAGTGCTCAGCTCACATATGCTGAGCTTAAGTTTTAAATACCCTGCCATACTGGCTTTTCCCATCTGTCCTGACTAAGTCAGCCCGAGCGTGTCCGGAACAAGACACTGGCCAAGCCATGTCCTGATGTTTGAACATGTTTAGTAGCCAATGCGATGGTGGGCGGCGACTCCTGCGAGTTCCTGTCGCTCAATGCTGAAGGCATGGCAGCGGCCACTCCTACGAGCGTGTTGCTACCGAAGGTTCCACCTGTGAATGAGGTGGGAACCCCACGGAGTTTGAGTTTTCAGCCTCAGGCTTTTTGGGATGAAAAGAAGTGTGGATGAACTTGAGACACTATACTACTAGTATACTGTGCGCCCCACACTTTGGTGGTCACCTTAGCAACTGGCAATGACCTTTTTCAAGCTTGCACTCCCAACTGAACTCCATGTCGTGCAATCGCACAAGGTGGCACGCAACTTAAACGCATTCGTACCGAGCATGCGAGGTACGACATTTTATGCTAGCCAAAGATCGTGCTGTGAAACATCGAGGGTATTTCGCTGAATAACCGTCGCAGGTGGTTGCTATCCAGGCCAAGGTCTCTCGAATGGCTGTTCAGGCCCCGGCTTACGAAACGCGGGCGAGCCGGAGGTGCTTACAGAAGTGGCATCTGTTGGTCGGGGGGGCCGGGGGCCGGGGGACATGACGTGCGAGAGGTTGCCGTCTTCTGGGGAACCAGGCGGCCACGACTTCGCCCATCAAGGTTAAGGAGCCTACACTAGTACCAGCGGAACGGAGCAGGAAGCTATTGGATGATGGCTTGCGTTCTTTAAAGCTATCGCGCGGGTGGCCATGGCCAAGTTCCTGCAAAAGCACGGATCTACTTGTGCGCGGCTGGTGCGGGCTGCCGATGTCCAAATGGAAGAACCGTCCACAAGTGCTCCTCAATAAGAGGGCTCCTCGCTACCCGGTCTACGTCTACGCTGCGGCCCGGTGGTGGTGAATCCCATAATCCCATCCTCCTCATCGGGCGATTTGGGCCTGGGCAACCAAGCTTCTCAGCGTGCGGGGAGTTTGCATGGGAGCTTAGCTTAGCCTGTCGAACACGACCCTGAAGGGCACCAAAACTTCGGGGTTGCACGGCGGGTGGGCTTACTTCGCCATGAAGCTGCATGGATACGCAAGCTCTCCTTGGAGCTTGTGTGATCTTATGTGGGAGTTGTTCGTTAAAAACTTAGGTCCGACTTAGGTTCTGGCCTGGGTGGCAGAAAGGCTGGGACCCCTCATCAGGCCATATATCATCAATAGCTAAGGCTGGGGTATCAGAATGATCGATTCAGGCAACACTTGCGGAGGGGTGCTACCCCGATCGTTATATTCCCCCGTCCACCCTTCCTTTCAGGCTCCTCGACACCCTTTTTTTGCAAACCCATGTCAAGCTGGATTCGGCTCAAGCGGTCATAGGGTTGACGCTTGAGTACGCAAGGCCATGGCTCTCTGCACAATTACGTACTCCAAAGAGAAGCAAGTTCTGCAAGTCGAAGTTTCCAATGTTGGGCCATAAGCACAGCGTTCAAAAGATCTAACAATTGCCAAAAACTAAAAACGCCACGTTTACGAAAGTTCCTTGCACTGTTTTTCGTATTTTTTTGACCCGTTCACAGGCGTTGGTACTTTGCTGTTCCGTACATTGTTTTCTGTAGCCTCCAAATTGGATCCGAGTCGAGACATGTTAGCTCTCTTGCATTCTTTTGGCTCAGACCTCTTGATCTCTAGACAGATGGATGCTACTCCAACCCGGCCTTCCATAAAAAGTTTACCGACAACAGTCATCCACCTCTCACTGCTTTCAACTTTGTTTCAAACATTTAGTTTGCTGCGTCTTTCATGGCTTTTGACAATGTTCAAGGCTTTGTGGGTATGTACACATGTTTGCGTCAAGAAAGTAAAGGGCCGGATCACAACACCTAACAAGATTCAGCCCAGTTAGTTCAAGCTGGGGTAAATGAGGTAACCAGACTCAATTAAGCGGAAGATGTTACTTCTCTCTGCTGGTCACGTTGACTGAACTGGAGCCGGTGCCTCAGTGCAGCCGAAAATTCTTGCAGTATGAGGCGAGGACTGAAGGAGCGGGAGAGCGGGAGTCGGTCGAGTCGGTGTCGCGAAGAGGAAGTGAAGTCCCTCATCTCCACCAAGTCGTTTTTTATCAAAACAGTCTCATCTTAGCCGTTCCAGGCATTGTTCACATTTGGTACTGTTCAGTCCAGCAGCGCAGAGAGCAGCTGCTGTCTCAACCGGGTGCAGTAGAGTGCTGGGATGTGCTGGGTGAGAAAAAGGAGAGGCATAGTCCACTCAAAGCGCCATTCTCGAGGTGCACTGGCCATGCGGCTGGCCTCAACAGCTTGCCTGATACGCACCTTCCGTTCATTGTCCATGCAGCGGCCTCTCGTTGATTCGCTCGAAATTTCGGCAAGGTCTTTTCAAAGTATTTGGTCTTGCTTTACGGGCCTTGGAAGCTTGTCCAGGCGCGAGCCAATGTACATCATGCCGCGAGAGTTATCATGGGGTCTTTGAAGAATCCGAAGGTCTCAGAAGGAAGACCCGGACACTCATGAAGAAATCAGCTTCGAGGTTGGATCGATTCGGGTCTCAAAAGATTGATCGGCCTTCGTCCAGATACAGGACCAGCCTTGGCAAGAAAACCTTGACCAAATGATCAACGAGGCGCGCGATGGAAGGAAGATGTTTTTCTCTGTCTGCACGCTTTGCGGTTTACGTTGCTGTGCACACGGCTAACATGCGCAAGCTTACCGTACCTACCGTACCTTGCTCTGCCTTACCTTCAGGAAGCTGTGCTTGCAAGACCACGAAAAAGTCCCTCAACCATGTTGTGCCTGTCTTCCTGATTTAGGCTAACATGCGCAGAGCCCAAAGTTGGAGAGAAAGTTCTGCCGGATGGGTTAGAGCATTCAGGAAGCTTGGCGTTTGTGCAAGGCAGCATGTGTCTATCCGCGATGGTAATATGCTGTTCTCGGTCTTGTTGTTTCATGCGCATTTCCGAACATGTGCTAGTGGCATGTGGTCTTTCTCCATGGAAAAACGTAGCGGTCAGCAGCAAGACAGGCACGAGAAGGATAAACCTCAGTCTTGCAGCAACAGAGACATGAGCAAGCAGTGCGGATTCAGACAGTAACAGCAAATTAATCACATGGTCACCCCGATGTCTTCACAACTTGCTCAATAATTTTGTACTCAAGGGAAACCCGTTGGCCAGGTCCTCCTTACGGAAATCGCCAGACTTCGAGCTACCTTCAGTCAGCACTTGCGCGAGCACGAGGCAAACACTATGCTCGCGCACAGTCGCAGTTTCATGACTACTGGCTGCCTCGAAGTTTTATACTCACAGCAATGCGCAGCAGCCAACATCGCCAGCACCAGGTCGCTCTGTCCCAGCTGCGCTCTGACAACGGGCATGCGCGTTCGTGAGAAACCCAGCAATGAGTCGAACGTGGTCATAAGCCACGTTCGCCAGAAAGAGCCAAAGCATCGGCCGTGCTGAGGTGGGCCCGGCAGGATGTCGAGCTTCTCAGGCAACAGGCGAGTCAAGGCTGTGTTTCATGCAACTCACGATGGACATGGTTTCTGTAAAGGTGCAGCTGATGGAAAGACAGCGTCGGCGACGAAGCTTTGAGGTGAAAAAGCTCCGAAAGGCAGAAGAGCGATGCGAATCGGTGAAATGCCCCGAGAAAGCTCAGTTACAGGCGATGAAGGAAGTACGAAATGCTCTTTTTACAGAAACGCCTCCGGCTGCGCAGGCCCGGACAGTTGAGTTGCAAACCAGCTGATAGCCAATGCTAAAGTCAAGAAGATCATCATGCCCTCTACCAAGGGGCACCTGGCTGCAAAGCAGCTCCTCGATGAGGCCGGTCACACGGGTTCGGACGTTCCTTGGTGGATGCATCCATGTCTGTGAGGTGCGAAATGAGCGCGAACGGAGGCTAGCTGAAAAGCGCTATTTGGAGGACGCATCCACTCCTCGTTGCTGACACAGGCTCACCTAGGATCGCAGAACCGCGACCAAGCCTGATTCACTGATGTTGGGTTCAGATGCATTTCTCAAATTCTTGAGGACCAAATCAAGAAGCTGAGCGACGAGGTTGAGGACCGAATGCCGACTGGCCTGGCTGGTAGTTTGACCTTGCAGCGGGTGGCCTTGGCAGGAACAGCAAAATGCTGCTCCACTTGTCGATCATGAAAAGGAGAAGCTGAAAGCCTCCGTGCGGGATCTTAGACTGGGTCTGAGGACCACGAAAGTTGGTGTAGCGGCAGATGTCCTTGACTAGTCTGTCTTGCTGCGGGAACGACATGATAGATCAATGTTTCATGCAGTGAGCCATTGTGACACGACGCCAACCCCCAGCAATGGTAACAAGAAACAAGACCAAAGTCATGATTTCTTTGTCAGATGTGGTCGCGAGGTCAGGCAGCTGAAGTTGTCAATAGAATCGAAAGACCGATATGCATGCTGGGTGGTGGCCCTGGTGCCTGCGCTGGACGACTCTCGCAGACCAGCGAACACCTGCTTCAGGTGTGTAACCGCGCATCCCATGAGCGCCAGGAGTCTGGATCGGACACCGAGGTGAGACCTGCGCTGCTTCGCTCGGATGTTTTGCGCTTAACGGCTGAGTCGCTGTAGGACTCGGACCGCCATGAGGACGAGTGCGTGATGATGAGAAGGCAAGCACGAGATTCATAGTGCACGAGACTCATCACGAAGCTTGGCATTTCGTGTTCACGAACTGCACGACGTGAGCAATCACTCAACAGCTCGTGAGGCGTCCAAGTGACATCGTGCTGGCATGAGTGTTCTGCATGTCCCAAGCTGTAAACCCTGCAGAGATTGCATCCGTAGTGAACTACGAAAGCCTACGGTTCAAGGAGTGCCAGACCCATTCTAGATGTTGAGGAGAGGAGTCTACGACTTTAGTTTGTTGCTCGACCAGCTCTATAGACTCGGCTTGGTATTGCTCGTAACAGTAACTAACCGGCAACCCCGCCCAGCCTGAACGGAACCCGCAAAGGAGCGAGTGAAGGCACGCTTGCGAAACACGAGGATAACGCGTTGTGATGTTTGTTGCTCCGCCCGTGTTGTGTTGAACAAAGAAGCGGGCGTAGCAAGAAGGAGTATTGACGTGCTGAGCAAATCATGACAATGCCTTTACTGTCCGGGGAGCTCTGCGACAGCGGGAACGAAGAACAGAACAGTGGCAAGGAACAGAAGGAAGCATGATGGTATGGAAGGACAGGAGGGTGCACGCTTGCAAAGTTGCCATAGGCACAGCACCAGAAGATCCCTAAGTAGATGATCTGATCGACCACAACGGTGAGGACTCCCTCTTGACGATTTAACTTTAGCTTTCTTAACATTGTGTCCTTACAGCATCGTGTATCATCGTGTCCTTCATGTCCTGTAAATCGGGTGCATGTATACTTGCTGTCTTGATGATTTTGCTGTTGTGCTCTGCAGCTGAATCCCCAGCAAAACAGGAAGTGAGTGAACGGCCCGTCCGGGCCCAACAGCAAAACACGGGTGGGTGGGTCGGTGTGTGCGCGCGTGGGTGCGCGTGGGTGCGCGTGAGTGCGGGTAGGTGTGGGTGTGGGTGGGTGTGGGTGGGGGTGGTGGGGTGGGTGCATGGGGTGGGGTGGGTGGGTGGTGGGTGGTGGGTGGTGGGTGGGGTGGGTGGGGTGGGTGGGGTGGGTGGGGGTGGGGTGGTTGGGGTGGGTGGGGTGGGTGGGTGGGTGGGTGGGTTGTTTCGGTGGGTTGTTTGGGTGGGTTGTTTGGGTGGGTTGTTTGTGTGGGTTGTTTGTGTGGGTTGTTTGTGTGGGTTGTTTGTGTGGGTTGTTTGTGTGGGTTGTTTGTGTAGGTTGTTTGTGTGGGTTGTTTGTGTGGTGTGGGGGTGTGGGGGGGTGTGGGTGGGTGTGTGTGGGTGGGTGTGGGTGGGTGTGGGACGGAAGTCTGTGGGGTTGGGCACTCCAGGAATTCTCACGGTGGTCTGTGGGGTTAGGCACTCCAGGGATTCTCACGGTAGTCTGTGGGTCTGTGGGGTGGGTACTCCAGGGGGTGTGTGTGGGTGGGTGTGTGTGTGTGTGTGTGTGTGTGTGTGTGTGGGTGGGTGGGTGGGTGGGTGGGTGGGTGGGTGGGTGGGTGGGTGTGGGTGTGGGTGTGGGGGTGCTCGCAGCATTTAAGTTTCCATAGTTTAGACGGTTGGGCTCGTGCAAGCCGATCCACCAACAGCTCGTGTCTGTCATACTGTAGTTTAAGTCTTTGAATCAAGTTCTAATCTGGCCTCCAAAATTCTGCATCCGAACGGGTATGAATTGGATGGGCGTAGCCTGCTTGAGGTTCCTTGATATTCAAGCGCTTCGGACTGGAATGCAGATTGGGGCATTCGGGATGCCCTGCTGCTCGAAGCTTTTACCTATGCATTCGAACGAACCTTGTTATTTGATGCTATATCATCACAGCAGCCACTTAAATGGCAAGCAAGCAAGAATTGCTACACCGTCATGACTTGGTTGAGCGGCCAAGAGCAAGCTTCAAGCACATACAGGCCGTAGCAAGACCAGCTGAAGCATCACACTCCACCGCTGTGTAGATACTATAATTTCTCGCGACAACCGTGAGACTAAGCAAGGCCTTGGATTGCGGCAAACTTCACAACAAATTGTCCGATCCATCAGGCGCTTGGTGGAAATGGAGGATGAGATTCGCTTGCTAACTGGTGGCACTGCAGGCACACCTTTACTATGATCTGCTACCAGAGACGCGAACGAAGCACTGTGATGGCGGTCAAGTTGCAGGCAGTGGCGTGGCAGATTTTCAGAGTGCAGCGCCTTCCCAGGAAACGTCTAAGTGGTCTGCTACCTTGTTTGCGTTACACGCAGCCGCACATGTGTGTCGAGGCATCCAGCCAAAAGCTCCCGTCTCAGGGGATCTCAGACATGACAAGAAGAGGCCGAGACTACGACCTGCCAGGCCTTCGGCAAGGCTTTCCCTGGAGCCACCGTCCATTGCAGAGTCGCCAATGAGCTGGCCACTTATGTAGGTTTTCGGTTCACGCCATGGCGACACAATTTTCTGTCGAAGCTTGGCACTACAGTGACTACAGGCCCCAGCTCCACCTTGCGACCTTTTCGGGAGCGAGTGCCTCTTGACGTGAAAGTGTACCAATGTGAAACATGAACGTTGATGACTACTTGCATTTTTGCTACGGCAAGTCTACCAATTGTAGAGAACACTTCATCCCAGTCTGGTCCTTGATACAAGATGTGTCTGAGTGGCGAAAGCATGTGTGATAATGTGTGAAGCAATGGTTTTTAGGGAAGGTGTTGCATGCACTTCTGCCCGGCTCGCACTCCACAATTGGTTGCTTCCATCTCGCTCGCTCGGATGCACTGTTTTCTATTTATGTTTTGCTTTTGTAGTTCACTGAACATACATATACGATCCGGTCCCGCATGTCTGCTTTTGGGCGAAAGGCCTTGCCCACAGGATTGGAGCAGACTGGGGACTTGAGCGACCTAGCAGCGCTCAAACTGCAGAAGTGTTGTAGCTTCAGCACTTCGAGGCTGGACAGCTAACTTTGCCGTTCGCCAAGAGGCAGCACACAACAACAACATTACCAAGACTTGAAAGCCGCCAAGCCTTAAGCATTTCGAGATTTGGTCGAGGCTCAGGCAAAGACTACATGAAATAAGCGACTGGTAGTCGTGTCGATTCAAGACAAGGCCTACGCCATGGGCCGAAGTGTCACACTTACGGATGGATGCGCCGAGCGAGTCCACAGGGTTCCTGAGACATTGACCATGAATGTGCTGCAGGCTGGGATGACATCAGTTGCGGAGGCTTGCTTCGGCCTGGCCTTTAGGGACTGAAATTATGTGGGCTCCTGGAGGCATCCGTGCAGTTCATGGATGCCATTACCACGGTGACATCGCCAGAAGTCCCGGAAAGTGTTCCAGAGGCCATCCCACCGGGTGCCATGACACGAAGATACACGAAGCGCTCAGCCCGAACTGACAGGTTGGCAACAGGTCCGTGCGTGACCGCATCTCAACGCCTTACGTGAGAGCAACCGCAGATTTGGAGGCAACTGCAGATGAGGTCTAGTAACCTTGCCTTGCAGAGTGGCTCAGTTACAGGAGCGCAGGGTGTTCCTCGCACCGGCGCTGTCGACGGTGGAGGATGCGACAAGCGTGGTGCAGTCAAAGCAGCACAACCCCGTGCAGGAGTTTGAAGCGGAAGGACTTGACGGGCATCTGCGGCCAACCCGGGATAGGACTGTGCGAACTGCAAAGCCCTGTGATGCGTGTTTGGTACGGGTCATGGACAGGCACAAGAAAGCCATGTTTCTTCTTCTCTTGGATAGGATGCCAACGCCACATGTAAGTTCACAGATGATCGAGGACAGCTCCGAACACTTCAACAGCTGATCGTGTTTTGCATTCAACGGCTTTCGGATTGGCTGTCGCGCGACGCAGCAGGAGACTCTGCCGAACACTGGAAAGATGGTTCGAATCTTGTCCGCGGAAACCCAGGCCGGGAAGGACCTGACGAGGAAGCGCGCCTTGTCCGCTACTTGCGAAACTTGTTTCAGGAGGAGCCTGAGGCACACCCAACTCCTAGTCCCAGTCAAAGCAGATGGACCGGGCTGGACAACGACAGAAGCATCAGCTTCAGTGCACATGTGGAAGCCGTGGATGCAGCCAGCCGGGCTTGTGTTGCACCAGCTCGAGACATCCGTGAGAGAACTCCCACGGGTTACATCCAAGATGGACACCTGGACGCTGAGGAGAAATCGGTGAAGTTTGGGAATGATGTGTCGGTCGTGCAGGCAGCCTCTCTTTCACTTCCTGGACAGGCGAGGAGCATCAGAGAGCGGACTCCCACTGGCTTCATTTCAGACGAGTCTGCAATGGCACCAGCTGATGACAGAAGCATCAACTTCAACGCCGAAGTGGAGGCCGTGGATGCTGCCAGCCGGGCTTGTGTCGCACCAGCTCGAGACATCCGTGAGAGAACTCCCACGGGTTACATCCAAGATGGACACCTGGACACTGAGGAGAAATCGGTGAAGTTTGGGAATGATGCGTCGGTCTTGCAGGCAGCCAGCTCTGGGGCACATCCTGGACAGGCGAGGAGCATCAGAGAGCGGACTCCCACTGGCTTCATTTCAGACGAGTCTGCAATGGCACCAGTTGATGACAGAAGCATCAACTTCAACTCCCAAGTGGAGGCCGTGGATGCTGCCAGCCGGGCTTGTGTCGCACCAGCTCGAGACATCCGTGAGAGAACTCCCACGGGTTACATCCAAGATGTACACTTGGACACAGAGGAGAAATCGGTGAAGTTTGGGAATGATGTGTCGGTCTTGCAGGCAGCCAGCTCTGGGGCACATCCTGGACAGGCGAGGAGCATCAGAGAGCGGACTCCCACTGGCTTCATTTCAGACGAGTCTGCAATGGCGCCAGTTGATGACAGAAGCATCAACTTCAACGCCCAAGTGGAGGCCGTGGATGCTGCCAGCCGGGCTTGTGTCGCACCAGCTCGAGACATCCGTGAGAGAACTCCCACGGGTTACATCCAAGATGGACACCTGGACGCTGAGGAGAAATCGGTGAAGTTTGGGAATGATGTGTCGGTCGTGCAGGCAGCCTCTCTTTCACTTCCTGGACAGGCGAGGAGCATCAGAGAGCGGACTCCCACTGGCTTCATTTCAGACGAGTCTGCAATGGCACCAGTTGATGACAGAAGCATCAACTTCAACTCCCAAGTGGAGGCCGTGGATGCTGCCAGCCGGGCTTGTGTCGCACCAGCTCGAGACATCCGTGAGAGAACTCCCACAGGTTACATCCAAGATGTACACTTGGACACAGAGGAGAAATCGGTGAAGTTTGGGAATGATGTGTCGGTCTTGCAGGCAGCCAGCTCTGGGGCACATCCGGGACAGGCGAGGAGCATCAGAGAGCGGACTCCCACTGGCTTCATTTCAGATGAGTCTGCAATGGCACCGGTTGATGACAGAAGCATCAACTTCAACGCCCAAGTGGAGGCCGTGGATGCTGCCAGCCGGGCTTGTGTCGCACCAGCTCGAGACATCCGTGAGAGAACTCCCACAGGTTACATCCAAGATGTACACCTGGACACAGAGGAGAAATCCGTGAAGTTTGGGAATGATGTGTCGGTCTTGCAGGCAGCCAGCTCTGGGGCACATCCGGGACAGGCGAGGAGCATCAGAGAGCGGACTCCCACTGGCTTCATTTCAGACGAGTCTGCAATGGCACCAGCTGATGACAGAAGCATCAACTTCAACGCCCAAGTGGAGGCCGTGGATGCTGCCAGCCGGGCTTGTGTCGCACCAGCTCGAGACATCCGTGAGAGAACTCCCACAGGTTACATCCAAGATGTACACCTCGACACAGAGGAGAAATCGGTGAAGTTTGGGAATGATGTGTCGGTCTTGCAGGCAGCCAGCTCTGGGGCACATCCGGGACAGGCGAGGAGCATCAGAGAGCGGACTCCCACTGGCTTCATTTCAGACGAGTCTGCAATGGCACCAGCTGGTGACAGAAGCATCAGCTTCAACGCTCAAGTGGAGGCCGTGGATGCTGCCAGCCGGGCTTGTGTCGCACCAGCTCGAGACATCCGTGAGAGAACTCCCACAGGTTACATCCAAGATGGACACCTGGACACTGAGGAGAAATCGGTGAAGTTTGGGAATGATGTGTCGGTCTTGCAGGCAGCCAGCTCTGGGGCACATCCTGGACAGGCGAGGAGCATCAGAGAGCGGACTCCCACTGGCTTCATTTCAGACGAGTCTGCAATGGCACCAGCTGGTGACAGAAGCATCAGCTTCAACGCTCAAGTGGAGGCCGTGGATGCTGCCAGCCGGGCTTGTGTCGCACCAGCTCGAGACATCCGTGAGAGAACTCCTACAGGTTACATCCAAGATGTACACCTGGACACAGAGGAGAAAGCTGTGAAGTTTGGGAACGATGTGTCGTTCCTACGAGCTGCCAGCACGGAAGCACTGCCTGGACAGGCCAGACGAGTTTCCGAAAGAATCCCCACTGGCTTCATCTCAGAAGATGTGACCATCACGCCACCTGCCGATGAAAGGGGCATCAGCTTCAGTACACAAGTGGTATCTGTAGATGCAGCCAGCAAGGCTTGCACCGGACCATCTCGAGACATCCGCGAGAGAACTCCAACAGGTTACATCCAAGATGGACAGTTTGACACAGAGGAGAAATCTGTGAAGTTTGGGAACGATGTGTCGTTCCTACGAGCTGCCAGCGCGGGAGCATTGCCGGGACAGGCCAGACGAGTTTCCGAAAGAATCCCCACTGGCTTCATCTCAGAAGATGTGACCATCACGCCACCTGCCGATGAAAGGGGCATCAGCTTCAGTACACAAGTGGTATCTGTAGATGCAGCCAGCAAGGCTTGCACCGGACCATCTCGAGACATCCGCGAGAGAACTCCAACAGGTTACATCCAAGATGGACAGTTTGACACAGAGGAGAAATCTGTGAAGTTTGGAAACGATGTGTCGTTCCTACGAGCTGCCAGCACGGGAGCATTGCCGGGACAGGCCAGACGAGTTTCCGAAAGAATCCCCACTGGCTTCATTTCAGAAGATGTGACCATCACGCCACCTGCCGATGAAAGGGGCATCAGCTTCAGTACACAAGTGGTATCTGTAGATGCAGCCAGCAAGGCTTGCACCGGACCATCTCGAGATATCCGCGAGAGAACTCCAACAGGTTACATCCAAGATGGACAGCATGACACAGAGGAGAAGTCTGTGAAGTTTGGAAACGATGTGTCTTTCCTACGAGCTGCCAGCGCGGGAGCATTGCCGGGACAGGCCAGACGAGTTTCCGAAAGAATCCCCACTGGCTTCATTTCAGAAGATGTGACCACCATGGCGCAATCTGATGAAAGAAGTATCAGCTTCAGTGCGCAGGTGGAGGCCGTGGATGCTGCCAGCAAGGCCTGTGCCGGACCATCTCGAGACATCCGCGAGAGAACTCCCACAGGTTACATCCAAGATGGACATCTGGACACAGAGGAGAAATCGGTGAAGTTTGGGAACGATGTGTCGTTCCTACAAGCTGCCAGCACGCGAGCACCGCCGGGACAGGCCAGACGAGTTTCTGAAAGAATGCCCACTGGCTTCATCTCAGAAGATATGACCATCACGCCACCAGCTGATGAAAGGAGCATCAGCTTCAGTACACAAGTGGTCTCTGTAGAAGCAGCCGACCTGGTGAAGACGGATGTCCCTGGCTCGTATGCCAGCTCAGCAGTCATGGACGATGTGGATGCTGGGAGCAGAGGCGTTCCAGGCCGCGCAACCACCGGCTTCGTTCATCGTGACGAAGTCCTTCCTGGGGAGGTGCGGGCAAGCTGAGTCTCCCCAAACAAAGTTTTTTTTGGAGAACATTTGTGCGAGTTTTACGACTCAGACCTCGTAGCCGTTTTTACTGCTAGCAGGGGTCTCGAACAACCAACAGCCATGTGCGGTCAGGTTTCAACACACCTCGGGCAGCGTGCTTGAGTCGACTATCGGGCAGAGATGGTAGACTGTAGAAGTGAGCTTTGCCTACTGAGTTCTACTAAGGCAAGATGCGGCCAGCGAAGCCGTGCTTGATGCAAGGAAAGTGAGTGAAAGTGCGAGTTCTTGTGCTTGGATGTGCCATGATGTGCCTCTCTGTGTCGATTGTAGCGCTGCTGGAGCAGAAGAATGGCGAGGACTGTCAGTTTCCGGCCTGCTGCAGAGTGGAGCACTGAGCTTCGTCCGGTCCGGTGAAAATGGAGCTGAAAGCTGGCCGGCCTACCAAGGATTAGCTTGGTAGAGTTTGACCATGGTGCTTTGTCCGACGAGGCATACAAGCGCAGCCGTTTCTCCTTGGCAGAGGTAATTCTTCCGATCAAAATGCCTTTCTGGAGGATGTTAAAGTGAAGAGAAAGCTGCCTCTTAAGCCCGTGCGCGACCGCCAGCAAACCAGCTGGGAAGCGATCTCAGCATGAAGCTCACTGCCAGCCGTCGATGTTCTCAAGGGATCCTGCATGTGTTCAGGTGCCATCGCTGCCGTCTGATGAGAAGTCTGTTCGGTTCAAGGACAGTTTCGCCATGCGGAAGTGATCACCTAGGTCCGTTAAGCAGCTTTCCTGGCTGCAAGCCCAAACAACTCTCACATCCTCACGAAGTCCCAGAGATGACGGGGGGCCCCGGTGGCCAGGGGCTTTGATACTTGCCCCATGCCCTGGGAGAATGGGAGAAGAGAGCGACAGAGGAGGCGGGCGGGGTTCGCCCGAGACGCTTCGGAAGAAAGAGTGCAAAGGAAAGACTGTGTGTGCGTGTGTGTTTGTGTCCGTGTGTCTGCCTGTTTGCGTCCGTGCGTGTGCTGGCGTCTAACGTCTCTCTAATATCAAAGCAGGACTTGCCGACCAGCCCCCTTGGCAAGAGGACGACATGGCATTTTCTTGATGCAGGCTTCCATGCTTCGGCCGAAGATTTGCAGGACCGGATCGCCAGATCCTCCTTCAGCCAGCAAATCGGATTCGCAAACGACTGATGCTAACACGGCAAGCACAAAATCCAGAGGATCCGAGGCGCAGTCACCACATGGGGTTGCACAGAAAATCATCTGCTTGGTCGAGGGAAGCAGAGGACGCGGATCCGAAGATGACCCTCCAAGTGATGCCTCAGGGCTCAGGAGTGTCTGTCGGCGAGACGTCGCATCAGCGTGAATTATGTTGCCAAGCTTGGCTCGGCACTGCAGGCTGAAACCGTGTCAAGTGCCAGCTCAAGAAATCCACGATCCAGAATGACCACACCATTTATGTCAGCCATCGGCTCGGAATGCGGGAAATTCCCTACGGTCGGTGCTCACGTCACGAACGCCCCTGCTTGAAGTCAATCCCCCCAGGCGGTTGATTGGGGCTATGAAGTGAGTGCTCCTAAAGAGGCTGGGGCCGAACCTGTGGCAAGTGCTTGGCAAACTGTTTCCTCCGAACAGAGGCAACGCAGGCAGGTGCTGCTGGTGCTGTTGCTGCTGGTGGTGCTGGCGACAGCGTCCCCAGTTCCAACCGCCGCCGAAGGTCGACCGAAACTCGTCCAAGAATTTCTGCGGCTCGTCTGCATGCAACTGCCAGGTCCAAGCCATCGTCACTGGAGCGTGCAGCTTGGCACTGCTCGGGTTTGGCCCGCTCATACTGGAAATCTCATACAACTTCTCCGAATTATGAGTGGTGAGGCCATACTCTTCCGCAACGGATCGCAATCTCGTGAAACAGGTCGGGCAGCATCCAGGAACGAGAGGGACGGAGGGACTGCTTCAGAGCGAGAGAGACAGACCGTGCTATTGCTTGACCATCGTGGAGAGCGAGCAGACCGGGTGATGGTTGCCTCTTCTTGCATCCTTCTTGCATCCTTGCTGCGTGCAGCAGGCATGGGTACAGTTGTGCTGAAGTTCGTTCGTTTTTGTTGGGCTGAAGTTCGTGCGTTTTTGTTCGGTGGTGCCATGTTCGGTTCGGGCCCCATGCCAAGAGGCACTTGACTGGCACTTGTGCCTCGTGCACGTAACGGCGATATGCAGCAGGTCAGCATTGAGTCCAGCATTGAGCGGGAGATCACTGAGCGTGTCAAGTTGAATGTCAACGGCTCAAGTTTTGTTCGCCGTAGCTTCAAGCTTTGAGATATCCCACAGTCCTCCAGCTGCCGAGGCTCAGCGCCAAGCCAGAGAGGAACGGCTGGTCCAAGTGGGCAGTGCTGATGCGAACGTGCATCCCTCAGACGTATGGAGCGGTCCGTCAGGGTCGTCCACTCCATAGGATGCGCCTGCTCCACACTGCGCCATGTTTGCTTCTGCCACTTATGCGGCAACACCTGAGATTCAAGCATCCACAGCCCTCTCAACAGCTTTTCACCAAGTTCGGGCCGTACCAAACAAGCCGCTGGCCCGAGTGAAATGCATGGATGGCAAAAGGCTTCAACTTCGCCAAACGGGCGCAGAGTTGTAAAACCTCTGCACGCACTCTGCAGGGGGCAAAGGCAAAGTGAATTATGCACTCTGCACTTCGCTTGAACACCATCCTTGCGAGCACCACAGCCGCGCACAGCTGTTTAATGTGAATGCGGCCCCAAGGTGCCTTTGGCCCTCGAGAGGTGTTCGTCAGCAGATGGTGGAAACCCAGAGGCAGATCTTGCGAATCACATCGCATCTTGCCTGCAAGCCATTTCGGAGCTTGTCTAAGTGACAGACAGACCTCCATGCATAAATAGAGACATCAGGCACGCATGTATGCGTGCATGCAGACAACTGCATCGTTTCCCGAACGAAGGCAACATGATTACATGGCGGTTCTAGGATGACAGTACTGTCTCTGCGAACGTCACGACAGCTGCCTCTGTGGAGCTTGCGAGAGTTGTCGTTTACCAAGTCAGTTTGAACAGCATGCCTCCAGGTGAAAAATGCGTTCGGGTCCTTGTCGGGTTAATGTCCTTTAGCAATAAGGGAGAGAGGGTCAGGCGGCCTGTGCCATCATTTTTTAGAATGCTTTAAGGTTTTGCCGTTGCAAGACATGTTCGCTCGACCGGGCCTAAATTTCCTAGCACCACTTTTTAAGGCAAGTGGCAGCCAGCATGGCGACATACTACTACTATCTACTACTACTACTACTACTACTACTACTACTACTACTACTACTACTACTACTACTGCTGACACGTTGTGCTTGGAAACGAAGCGCGCTCTTTGGGACCAAGATTTTGCCCATCGTGGTCATATTGCTCAATCTTGTGAATCTTCGGGGGGTCTCCAAATGTCCAAGATTTTGCTATTTTTGCTATTTTGCTTGCGGGTTTTGGGGGCAAGGTTGCACGTAATGCTGCTCATTTTGCAATCTTGCAATCTTGGTAGTATGCACACTTCGGGGGTGGACACATTTTGCAATCTTGTCATCTTGCACCACTTGCGCCATTTGAACCATTTATGGAGTTTTGAGTTTTTAGGGTTTGCGGTTTAACGGTTTAGGGTTTAGGCTGTTGGGGGTTTAGGACGACGCGCGCCCGGCGCGTGCGGTTTACCGGTTTAGTGTTTGTTTGTACTAGTAGATGGCTGGGGGTTAGGGATTTTGAGGGTTTAGAGTTTCGCGGCTTATGTTTAGGGTTTGGGGGTGCGCGTGCCCGGCGCGGACGGTTGACGGGTTTAGGGTCTGTAGTCAGTAATTAATTATTGTTAGTATTAGCATTGGTATCAGTATTCGTATCCGTATAGGTATTACACGGTTTAGGATGTTTAGGGTGTAGGGTGTGGGGTCTTGCGGTCTAGGGTTTAAGGTTTAGCAGCTCCAGTTCGCAGTCTGTACTCGAGCTGGCTACTTTGGTATCGGAAATCATCCCACCCACCCTCAGATTCCAAAAACATTAAGAAACATTTTACTTCCTTTAAACCCTAAGGCATAGATCCTAAAAACTACACCTAAACACTAAAGGCTTAAATCCTAGGTCCAAAACCCTAGGGCCAATAAGGCCGAAACCCCAAGGCCGAAACCCTAAGGCCTAAACCCTACGAACTAAAATCCTAAGGCCTGCACCCGTTTAGGCTTGAACCCGTTTAGGCTTAAACCCAAAAGCCTAAACCCGAAGGCTTAAAATTAAAACCCAGGGCCAAAACCCTAAACCCTAAAACTTAAGCCCTAAGGCCGAAACCCTAGACCGAACCCCTGAAGCCGAAGCCTTAAGGCCCAGGGCCTAAACCCTAAGATTTCCGAAGGTCGGGGGGTCCAACTTGCCTTTGCCCGCGAATGTAAAAGGGTTTAAATACATAATGTTTTATACTGATACAGAGGTTTAGGCTGTTGGGGTTTTGGGGTTTAGGGCTTGTAGCTAGTTGTAGTTATCTATAGCTAGATTAATTGCATAAATTGGAAGCAGGGTTAGGCTGTTGGGGCTGCATGGTTTAGGATTACGTGCGCCCGGCGCGTGCGGTTTACGGGTTTAGTGTTTCTTTGTAGGTAGTAGGGAAAATCAGCTTTTAGTGATTTTCGAGGGTTTTGGGTTTCGCGGTCTACGTTTAGGGTTTGGGGCTGTTGGGGTTTATTTATGGCTTAGGGTTTGGGGGTAGGCGTTCCCGGCGCGCGCGCGCCGTTGACGGGTTTAGGGTCAGGGTTTAGGGATGTTTGGGGTCGGTAGTTAGTAATTATTGTGAGTTTTAGTATTAGCATTGGTATTAGTATTAGTATCCGTATTTATATTAGTTACAGGGTTTAGGATGTTTAGGGTTTAGGGTTTGGGGTCTTACGGTTTAGGGTTTAAGGTTTAGGCTTTAGGGTGCCAGGCGCGTGCAGGTTTGGGGTTTTACGGCTTTTAGTATTTTAGGGTTTGTTTAGGCTGTTAGGAGTTTTACGGCTTATGGTTCTTTTAGGGTTACAGGCGCCCTTGTTTAGGGTCGGTATCTTTATTTTTTGGAAGGGGTCGGGCAAGCGTCATGAGCATCAGCTTCTGCGTGGGTTTGTGGTGGCTTTGGGGCCGGGGTGGGGGGGAAAGGGGGCGTCTGGGTTTAAGGATCGCCAACCCAACATATCGTAATATGGTTGCCGCAGAGAGGTGATTGATGGGTGTTGTGGCAGGGGGCCGGCAGGTGGACAGCTGGGTGGCTGTGGTTCAAGTCCCCCGCCCGTCAGTTTATTGTAGCAAGATGGACAATTCTCGATTGGCTTAAAACAACACACAATTTGCGGCCCATTTGTTGCACGTCGCTTCGTCGGTGAGTCCGGACCTGAGCTTCAGAACTGTCTGCACCGCTCAGGCTTGCATGCCTTTTGCCTTTCGCATTGGATTCCATGTCTGAGTGACTGAGTGCAGTGCATACAACTTCTGCTGAGTGCTCGCCGGGGGTTGTGTGTTCGGATTTCTCTGGGTTTGGGGTTTTCTGGCTGAGTGCGTGCAGGAGTGCCTGTTGCTGCCACTTTCCCACCTGTAACACTAGAGTGCCCTGCGTTCCCCCATCGCAGCCGACTTGAGCTCAAGCCTGGAGGGCATCGAGCTACCCAACAGCCTGCGGAGGTTGACTTTCGGCAACACAGCTTCAACCGGAGCTTGGACTGGCGTCCAACATCCCCAGCTGACTGCAGAGCTCGACGTTTGGCAGCGAGTTTCAAGCCATGCAGCTCGGCCGTTTCGCGCGCCGCGAGGCGTTGAGGAGGCGAATCCTGAGGCGAGCGCTGCACAAGAGAGCGCTGGCCCTGTGGAGGATTCTCCGCAGCGCGATGCGGGCAGTGGACGACGATCAGGACAAGGAGAACTGGAAGCTGGCGCTGCTGAAGACTCTGTACGAGAGAGGTCAGCTTGACACATTGCTTGACGCATTCCGCCGATAAGAGGGGAGGAAAAGAGGGGTTCGTGCGTGGCAAGACCCGGCTGCTTTCTCTTTGCGTGCTTTGTGTGTGCGCCTACATCCCACCCAGGTCCGGACCTCTCCTTGCTCGGTACCGACTCTCAGAAGGTTTGGATGCCGGGGTTTCTTTTGTTTTTGGAAGGGTCTGGGTTTGTGCGGGGTTTCTTTCTCGAGCGAGTGTCTGTGCGCGTGCAAGAGTGCCTGGTTCTGCTGCCCCGGCCTTTTACCGTAAACCCCAGCCCGATTCGCAGGAGTCCTGCGAGAGTGTGTGCCTAGGTGCTGCTCGGGTGCCCTCCTTCGACTCCGAAGTTGGTGCCGCCGGGCTCTTGGAGCGTAGGAAGCTTCCACATGTGCCATGAATTTGTTTCTTGCTGGCTTTCGGACTTTCGGGACTTTCGGGGGTATTTTGATTTCGACACTGGGCTTGGGGGGTTGCTTGATCTTGGCATTGGGTTCGGGGGCTATGATCGCAATCGCTTGCCGCTGGTGCATGCGTTTTTAAAAAACTGCAGCGTCTTCTTCTTTGGCTTACTTCTCCTTTCCTGTCCTCCCGAGCCTAAACCTTTGTCTTGTGCTGCCCAGGCAACCTTGACTCGACATCCTCATTGTGGTCCTCACTCGTGCACCGGCCTGGGCCTTGTCTTCAGTCTGGCAGGAGTGAGGGGTGTAGGACCGTGCAGGAGCGACTGTTGTGGGCGCAGTGCATTTCGTGGAAGCGTGCCTCACATGTGCCATCAATTTGTGTGCCTTCCTGGCGTGCCCGTAGGTCCCCCTTTTACACCGCGAGTGTGTTGCCCAGATCCAAGCCCCCTTAGTGCTCAAGCGTCTGAACGCTCTCGGGTGGGGTAGCGGGCCTGCCGGCGACTCTGGTTTTCCCTTTGTTTTGTTTTCCCCTCGGGGCTTTGGTTTTCGTTTTCCTCGTCCGTTCGAGTCGTCCGGTAGGGTAGCCTCTTTGCCGTAGCTTGACGCATGTCATGGAGACAACAACAACAACAGACGATGTGACCACATCACTTATTTTTTCACCTTATTTCCAATTTCACAACGATTGTTGTCTCGTTGAGAAACGATCGTGCATGAACGCTTCGGGCGGTTTTTGGGGAAACTCTTTTAAACTCTTTGAACGGTCGAACTTTTCTTGAACCTGATTCTTTGATGAGCAGTTGTACATCACGTCTCCCGCGCACGCTCTTTCAAGCACATGAGTGGAAAATTTTTGTAGTGGGTGAGCCTTGGGGCCTGTAGTGCTGAGCTGTTCAGACTCCCGCGAGGGAAGTGCCCGGCACGTGAAGCTGTCTAGTACCCTCGGGGAACGCTGTGGATCGGAAAGGTGCGAGCGGAGTGAGTTCTGGAACTCAGCCTAGTTCACGGCTGTGTCAAGGCCTTCTAGAGTCCCACTGTCAATGGACCATGTCTTAGAGCAGATGATGGCTGCCTCTGGCGACCCTTGGTCCAATCCTCGGGGATTCGAGGAACGCAATTCCAGACGGGCTCGTTGTGCGTCGCGCAGTCGCTCTGATTCTCGTGGACGGCCTCGGATCAGTCTTCGTACACGAGTTATTGATGAGTTTAATGTGACGCGCTCGTTTGAACCAGCTGATACTGCCTCCTCGCGATTGCCGTTGCCTTCCACTCAGACTTTGGTGCTGCAGGCTGAGCTAGACGCTTTACGTCGCACCAGTGCAGAGCAGATCATGATCTTGACTCACAGAGTGGACGACCTTGAGCGCCAGGTTAGAACATTACTCGCTACATTGCACCGGCTGCAGCAGTCTTGAGACCGTTGGGGAGCTGGCAGCTTCGCTTCGAATTCTGGCATCTGGTGGCTCTGAGATTTGTGCAATGCTCTGCTTATG